GGTTCAGTGACGTGAACTTGTGATCACCATATTGTAAACATGTCGAGGCGTACTAGCGCAAACCATCCCGAACATCAACATACAATGCATCGGTTACTGTGGCTAGCTAGAGACTTGGGTCATACAGTATCAATCATTTTTGCACACTGATAAACTATTGTGTCAAATGTTAGAGGGATGATCTGTGTATTGTAAACATTCCCACTATATGCAGATTGCAGACAATTGGTTTTATTGATGTCATCAATTTGATGATCTATTGTCTTTGTTTTAATAGAGATTGAACACCAACTAAACTTATCCATAATACCTCTATGAGAAGAAAGACTTTTTTTTTGTAATCTGCCTTTTCGCAAAATGGAAAATGGAATTACATTTTTAAGGCCGAGTAAAATAAATAAATGTGATGCGATCAAGCCAAATGAGTCGTTTGTCAGGATTTTTTATTTGGAGATGCAGGCCAAAACAGGGCCACTTCATCACATCACTTCATCACATCTCTTGGTGTTCCGACTGCCATAATTTTTGAACTAAAGATGGTACCAGCGTGCGGTTTTCACAGCAGTAATGCTGAGATTGTGCTCTTTTCAAATCTGTAATAAAAAAAAATTGACCAGGGTCGACAAACGACTCTCGTGTAGCGTGATCGCATCACAAATAGTTTCTTCTCTGGGCTTTTTGAGAAAATGAAGGAAGCAAGCGTTTTTTTTCTTTAGTGTTTTTTCCCCCAATACGACGGATTTTCCAAGATGGCATTGAATTCTTCCATTTCTTCGACTTTTTTGCTGATATAAAATTGAGTCCAAAGGAGCTAGAACCATTTCTACATACCGGGGTAGCTACAATTTTGCTGAAAACAAATAAAAAGACAATGTGCAAAATATATTGCAAATGTGTGATTTGAAAAAAGAAAAGAAATACTTCCCCACCTTAAAATTCCAAAACCCCAGAAAAACCTACTGACCTGGGAATTTTATGACAATGGTCTTAGCCCAACCCCTAAAACATCTGCCAATCATCATCAGTCCATTCAGGAAATCCACATATTCTGTTGAGGTCAAAAGGTCAACCAGGCACCAGACATTACCTCAGACAGCAAGCATTTCGGTGATGTCACCGTTGAATGGGTCAGGTTGTGAAACTGACTTTAGGGCATCCCATAAAAAGATCAGGGCCCAATTTTCATGGCCCTGTTAACCACAGAATTCCGTGCTTAGGATCACCATTCAAACCTTGCTAGCAGAAAATCTGTGCTTACCCTGTAAGCACAGAATCCTTAGTTACAGGACATGCACATAAGCTAAAATTCTTTGTTAACCTGTGAAATATGCTAACCGTAAGCACAGAATGTTCTGCAACACTAAGCAGGTATTTTTTTCGCTAACGGTTGGCAGAGCCATGAAATTAGGTGTAGCTTTATTGTAAAAAACTAAATATTTAAATCTAAATATTAAACAGAGTTTTTGCAGTAGGGGAATGCATCGGAACCGGGTACCCGGGTACCAACCATTGATGTCAGGAACCGGTTACAGATTATGGAATCGGGAACCCATAACCAACTTTACAAATTACTTAGTAAATTCTCAGACAATCAAAAAGAAAGGTTTGGAATGTCATTTGTGGGGAACATTAAAAATAAAAAACCATGCCACACATGGAAAATAAACATATTTCATGTTTATGACGTTCGCGAAAGTTGGAGTTTACACCACAAAGTTACAAAACTCACTGTATACATTGTATCTTGCTGTATCCATGCACAGATGTGGTACTAGTATTATCGTGCGGACCTTTATAAACAATCTGAACAGCAGCTTCCGAGATTTGAATGTTGGGTTGGGTTTCTTTAACGTATATCCGGGTACCCATGTTTTTTTCAATTGGGTACCCGGTTGCTGTACTACACGTAAATGCACACCACTAGTTGGCAGTCCAGACAATGGAAAGCAATCTCATAACATTACAACTGACTCTAGACCTATGAATTAATTTATCTTCTGAATTTATTTACCTTCTCCGGGGAGGGTTTATTATCTGATACAGCAAACGGAGAAGATAAGTTGGCTGACAATGCAACTAATTGTAAGCAATAAGTTCAAGAACTCAATGTATAGCGGAGTGAGTCATTTAACAAACTTTCATTAAAACCTTTCCCTTCTAAAATTGTGTGGACCTTATAAACTGGAGTCATGCGTTGCACATTTTGAAATGCTCTTGTGTGAGTTTACACATGGCACAGGCATTCCATTCGACAACATGTGTTCATAGGGGAACATGTATTGTTTGCTCCTATGCAAAGACATGTTACCAGATAAACAGAAGGCAAAGAAATTCAACAACGTTTCCTTTATGCACTGTTATGCGAGTCAAAGCACAAAGGAAAGCTTCTTTCTGAACCAGGTGTGCCCCAGTGTGCCTGCTGCGTGTTTGCCGTGCAACTAACTTTCTCTGTGGGAGTTTTGTGGCTTTAAAGTCTTCGAGATCTCATGCCTAACATGTCAAGCAAAGGATTTATTGCTAAGGTCTTGTTTTTTTTAAAGTCGGATTAAAGCTCAATCAATACGACAAGTGCTTGAGAAAGTACCCTCAGAGTGGAATTTGGTACAGTTGGCTCGACTGGTAGAGTCTAGTTATAGCCGGTACACAAACATTTTGAAAAGTTGATAATAAATTAACGCAAACTGCTCAGAATTGATAATAAAAGTCACATGACGATAACAAGGAAACCTGTATGGTAGCCACCTGTTTTGGGACAGGATAGGTACGAACACATGACCTGTAGTGGCTAGCCATCAGTTGTTTGCAAATTAAAATTGTGAACCCTTTATTTTTTCCAATATCCCCAAATCCATTGTTATCTTGTACAGAAATATATGGACAATGCAACGTCTACAACACTACCGTACACATACACATGTAGGTGAGGTTTGCTCGACAATGCACAAATAATTTGTAAAACATGGTCTTTGTTATTTCAAAGAGTTATGTCAACCAGAGAAATGCTTGACATTTTGCATGCATGTACATATTATATAAAAAGTACAACTGACTAATGTATGGCGCTACACTGAAGTACACTGTATTAAAGGGAATATACATCATTTGCTTTTGCTGTAATTTTCAGAAATGGATGGAATTGGGGGGTTGGAAATATATAGCAAATATAGTTACACTGACTTTGTTGAGGTTTTGGGTTCGAAAATGCTATAAAAACCAACAAAAAACGATCATTTTCCTGTAGTCTGGTTCCCTGACTCCATATAAGAAGAAACACAGCAGTTTACATACATTGGGGAATTGTAAGGTCAGGGAACCAGTCTAGCTGGCTCGTACCCGTTCATAGGTTTGTAATCGATTGCAAACAAGTGCGATGGTCAATTGGGGCCAGTATTTGAAAAAAAAAGCCAGTTGTTTCCAACGCTGATCGGCCGATCAGCGTTGGAAATTGATACAAAAATACCACTTTTCTTGAAAATGACAGTATACCAGGTGCCATGATTTTACAGGATGCTTTACACTGTCATTCACTAACAGTCCAGCAAGGTATTTCAAAATGATTTGGTAGTTTTATTTTTTGATGTTTGCAAATGTTGTATTTTCCCTTTAAATTTGTATGCAAGTTCAGTTGCAGGCTAGGCTAACTAGTCAATTCAGATGAATGCATTACATAAAAAAAACCTGACACATAGGGGGAGGGGGTGTTTTAGGACAATATTTCCAGCATTTTTGGGGTGACTCTATGACATTTGAAGTCTTTGTTAAAACTACAATACTTTGGGTGAATCACGCATATCGGGGTGGTCGGAAGGGGTGTACTTTTATTCCGTTCAGCACTGACCACGTTTTATGGTCCACAAAATGAAAAAAGTTATAGTTCAGTGCTCTTCATTCTTGCATGAAGATACACGGGTCTTATCTCTGTAAAATCAGGCAGATTAAACTAGTCACTTATGTATAAACACAGACTTGTTTCGTAGTACATTGTATTGATAGTAAATTGACCACTCATAACATGGCATTTAAATACTGGAGGTGCCATGTTTCTTCGGCAAGATAGTGGGCCTTTCAGCCGAGACCTGTCTGGCGCCGGTCTCCAAATACAGACAGCTATCAATCAATTAGGGATTAGGAACTAGACATAAAATAACTGCAAAGTTATCCAAATGAATTGACACTCAAAAGATGAGTGGGTTTAGGGGCAAAGGTCAAAAGGATATTTCAATGGGAGGGTGGTAGCATAACTTTAGTGGATTGTTTTGGCTGATTTTCTATCAATTGTGGTCAGTCATCGAAGGGCTGTGGTGAGTACATTCTATGGGTTTTATTGCCTAATAAAATTGAAGGTCGTATGAGCCCATTTAAAAACACTGACCAAGAACTTTGTAAAAAAAAAATCCTGAAAAGTTGCCAGCCCCAAAAGCAAAACAAAACAAACAAAACATAACAAAAACAAACAACCCTTCGTAGTCACAACAAAATGTATACAGTGTTCCAACTAATGTTGGCATAATGTTCAAAATTGTTCATCACTTCATGATACTGCCAACTTCAATTTCCCTGAAAATTTATCAAAACCACAAAAGATTTACATCACAAGATTTGAGTATTAGACAAACATTTCAAAGAACTACACAAGTTCAACGACTCCGTCAATGAAATTGTAATATTTGTAGGTTGTCTTTGTGTGAAAGAGGTGATTTCTTCCAAAAATTCTTCATAATTTTCCACCACGGCTTAAAAATAACCCGACAAAGAAAACACTGACTGCTTTTAAAAAAAAAGTAAATTACACTTTTCACAAATTTATTAAAACACAGATTTTGGATATCATGCAGTTTAGGAGTATTCAATCCCAAAACATAAAATATTTTTGGTTCTCTTATAACTACACGATTACCAGGACATATTAATTAATAACTGTCAATTTCACACCAACCTTAATATTAAATTTAATATTCCAATACAAAGAAAGTTTCTTCTGCAGAAAAAAAAATACTTACAAAATCTTGGTTTCATTATCCACTTGGGGAATCCTCGTGAGTTCCAGGTGCATACACCTCACGGTGGTCCGGAAACACAGGCAGCCTAGAGGACAAGCCTGGCAGACAGCTGGTAAACACACGCTCAAAACTCCGAGGAGTAGTACTAGAAACCTCGAGTCCATCCCCATAGCTCCCCCGTCAGACACGGCCCGAGACACTGCGTCCGACCCGCTCAGTCCAAATAACTCCCGTGGAAAAAAGTTCCCGTCTGCAACGAAGTGCCCTCCACGCAGCACAACTCAACTCTGTTTCACCCCGTTTCTGGCAGCCACACAACTCCAGGAAAGAGACAAAGTCCGGATGTTACTGTGCTTACTTGCCTGAATGGTAGTTATCCCTGGCTATGGCGACAAAAACAGAAGTTTCCGTACAAGAATCAGACAAGGTTTGTTGACAATCGATAGACCTACGTGCATGCGCTATGCGTACGTGCACCAATGTAAAGGGTCGAAGTTTGGAGTGCCACGCGTTGAGCCGGTTACTTTTATTCACTGATTGGCACCTTGAACGTACCCCCTAGCCCGCTAACTTTTTACCCTTTGTTCAATGTGCACGCACGCACATGTCAAGGGCAAACCGATTGTTCCACTTGCATGCACTCAATAAAGTTTTAATGGGGCTAAATCTTTTTACTGTCTGACTATCATCTAAAAAGAAAAAAAATACATAAATTAAAGAAAGAAAGAAGTTTTATTTTAAGAAATATTTGACTCAATTTCACACAAAACAGATGTTTCACAAACAAAATTGAAACACTGATGTAAAAAAAAATCATAGTTTTCAAAAAATTAAATGTGGGAAGTTTGTGCATTTTTACCATTCGGTTATTCTTTGTATAAAGAGTTTTACATTTTAATATGAAGCAAAAGCACACTACTGAACATTCAGTTCAGTGCATTTATTTCAATTTAATTCCACAGTGTTCACAAAAACATTGTTTATAAACAAGCAATTATAATGATGAGATGTAATCACAGCCCATGTCAAGCATTTCACTAGCTAATTTGTCTGTAAAATATAACCGAAAATACACAAGTTCATTAATTCGTTTTAGAATCCAATTACATACTTTACCCACTGGTTATGTTCACCGGTTATCACCCCTTTCATTTCGAGAAACCCCGCCCCTTTTGGAGAATTAAAATCCCACCTGCAACAGAGGGCGCTCTTTCATGTTTACGGTTGTGAAATTATTTCGCAAGATGGCGACTTCCATGGACAACACGAGTTCCCGATCAGATCAAAAACATCGGCGAAAGAAGATGAAAAATAAGCCCAAATCAGAGACAGACAAAATCGGGGAATCCGATTTGGAGCTGAAAGGAAAATGGAAGGTTGCCAATGTGGATTATAGTGCTCTCAAGTTGGACGAGCTCCGTGAATTTATGGGGATCGAGGAGCTGTCCATGGAGCATGAGATCGTCACGTCAAAGCCGGCATCGTCGCGCTCAAGAAGCCGCAGGCGACGTAGGGTGAGTACGGTACAGTAAACTACATACTGTGAGGAAATGACGGACTATTTACAAATAAGGAAGTAATGTTGCAACCCGACGCCACTTCAGCAGTAATGTACTACAAAGTCTATCATGTCTATGGAGAGTCAAGACAATTTCTAAGTATTTCCTAACAAAATTGTAAATGTTTCTCAGTTCCCGATTCATGTCTACTCTTATCATGATTTTTGCAATGAATGACCTTCATTGAGATGATATATAAAGAAAAAAGTGGTGTCAGGTTGCAACATTCTTTCCATAAATAAAAATAGTGTGTACTTGTGTTTATTCTTGAAGACTCTCGGTAAGATAGTCTTAGGATAATTCACTTTTGAAATAGTACTTAGATTATAGTACTTTAATTTTAATGTGATAGATGATGTTACATCAATTAATTTAAATTAAGCCTTTTTATTCGGGATGGGCATGATGTAAGGGGATGCACGATATAGACTAGTCCGAGTATCTAGTCTACAAATCACTTTTTTAAAACAATTTTATTTGGTCATGGTCTGGCGATTAGTAGCCAGACTATGACCAAATGTTAAAAAAGGTGACTTGTCAGTGTTTGTATAGTAAAGTTACTCAGACTATTGTGTGTCATTAAACTTTTGAATAAATTTTGACTAAATTTTGCAGAAAGCCACAAGAAATCAGCAGATGAGAGAGGAACAAGAAGAAGACCCCACTGAAGAACACCAGGCATCTCCTCTCAAGAAGCAGAAGATGAAACAGAAGAAGAAAAGTACCTCACAAAATCTTGGCAAGGCAGCAGGAAAGACACAGCAAGAGGCAAAAGATGAACCAGAGGAGGAAGATGTAAAGGTTGCCATGGAGACCAAGACGAAACAGACAGATGCTGTGAAGATGGAGGAGAGGAGACACCAGAAGATTGAGAAGGCAACAAGTTTCACCAAAGGCATCCCTGTTCCCAAGAAAGACAGCAGTAAGTATGGCTCTGTGGGTTACAACCCTCCTCACTCCTCCAAAATCAACCAGGCGAATTTTGGAGGATTTTGCAGGATTTAGGCTGTGTGCCTTTGAGATGCCCATTGATTTTGGAGGATGCATTGTGTCAAGGTCTTAAGCAGTCTTTCAAAACGTCATTTACTTTATGTCATCCATGACTCGACATTCATCCGACTTGTTTTCTGATCTTTTCTAGATGTGAGTTTGCCGGCTTGGAAGAATCTCCACGTTCCTGCACCGATTCTTAGAGCACTTCATGATCTTGGCTACAATGAGCCCACTCCCATCCAGAAAGCATCCATCCCTTCTGCCATCCAGGATGGAAAAGACATCGTTGGTGCTGCTGAAACGGTACATCAAAGTTCTGATTTTGCTCCTTTGCAGTACTTATGTTTTCTTGTAATGGATCCTTCCTGCCTGTCAATCAAACAGTGTGCATTGACCAATCAGATCACAACTTATGGTCAGGCGACCAGGGTGACCAAAGGTGGGCGAGGCTATTAGGTTTTCTTGAATGGATACTTGCCTGTCAATCAAACAGAGCGCATTGACCAATCAGATCACAACTTATGGTCAGGTGACCACGGTGACCAAATGTGGGTGGGGCTGATATGGGTTTTCTTGAATGAATCCTTCCTGCCTGTCAATCAAACAGTACGCATTGACCAATCAGATCACAACATTTGGTAGGTGACCACAGGCACAGTGACCAAGGGTAGGTGGGGCTAATAGGTTTCCTTGAAGGGATCCTTCTTGCCTGTCAATCAACTTACGCATTGACCAATCAGATCACAACATTTGGTAGGTGACCACAGGCACAGTGACCAAAGGGTAGGTGGGGCTAATAGGTTTCCTTGAAGGGATCCTTCTTGCCTGTCAATCAAACAGTGCGCATGGACCAATCAGATCACATTTGGTAATGTGACCATGGTGACCAAAGGTGGGTGGGACTGATAGTTTTTTCTGGAATGAATCCTTCCTGCCTGTCAATCAAACAGTGCGCATTGACTAATCAGATCGCACCATTTGGTCAGGTGACCACGGTGACCAAGGTGGGCGGGGCTAATGGTCATCTGGAATTGCCCATTGGTTTTGAGATTGTTTAAATCTTACTGAATTCTTAAAAAGTATCACATTATTTGCCTTCATTGGCAAAAGTATTGTGGCAGCTTTTGTTTAGATAATCCGTCATCGGGTAGTTGCTTGTGCAATAGTGTGCACAATGGTTTCACCATTGAAGGGGCCTCGTGAGTGTACAGTGAAACATGCTGGAATTGGTCTACAGAGTTTCATCAACTTTTTGTCAATTTTTCGTTCACAGGGAAGCGGAAAGACCCTTGCATTTGGCATTCCAGTGATACATAACATCCTACAGCACAAAGCAGCGCTACAGCGAGAAGCAAGATCCAAAGCCTTCAAACAGGCAAACACTGATCCTAAGGAGCCTGGAACTTCAAACATAAGCACCATTAAAGCGACTGCAACAAGTCAAAAGAAAGAGCAAATGAGTCTGGAGTCATCCCGCAGTGATACATCTGATGTGAAACCATCAGGACTAAAAAAGAAGGGGCTGAAAAGTAAAATGAGAGAAGAGGTGAAGATGGGTCAGGGAGGAAGAAAAGGAAGCGAAGAAAAGGATAGCCGTGAAGTGGAGGAGGAGGATGTTGATGAAAATGAAGAAATTGAAGACGATTTTAGTGATGAAGATATTGAATATGATTTTGATGATGATGATTCAGACGATGATGATGAGGAGGAGGAGGATATTGATTTTGATGACATTGACGACGATGACAGTGATGAAGAAGAACTCGAAGATGAAGATGAACTTGAAGATGAAGATGATTTTATTGAGGCCAAGGATGGAGAACTGGGGGACGCGCTTGATGATTTTACAGAGGCAAAAGATGATGAAGATTCTGTTGAAGATGATGATGATGATGATGATGATGATAATGATGATGTTGAGAAATATCGAAAGAAAAAGACAGTCCTCGAGAAGTCAGAAAAGACGTCTGAGGAAATGGACGAACCCGCTGACAAACCCCCTAAGAGACCCAGGGGCAAGAAGGGACAAAAGAAACGACGATTCCGCATCCATGAGCGCAAGATGCTGGAACTTGACGGTGCGGAGTTTGAAGGCGTCGAGCTCATCAACAAGATGGACAAGCGCGGCTTTGGCTGCGTCAGAGCCATCGATGACATCTCAGATGCCGAGTTGTTGACCCAAGTTGGTCTTGGCGAGGCGGTGCAACAGATGGAAGATGCGGGCGACGGTTCCCATGACGACGGACAGCTGTATGCCATGATCCTGACACCAACTAGAGAACTTGCAGTTCAGGTCAAGAATCATTTAGTTGCCGTGGCGAAGTACACAGATGTCAAGGTAATGATTATAAAAGAATTCACAAAATAACCTTCGGCTCGGTTAATAATCGGCATCCAGACTCCAACCAGTCTTAAACATAGTAATGATACTAAACTCCCTGTGAAATTATTCCTTCTGGCATGCCATCATTTTGAAGAAAACAACAAAAGAAGGTCATTTCCAAAGATGAGTCTAGTGACGCATTTTTGGAAATTTCCATTAGTAGTTAGTGTGTAATTGGGAGAAGCCACGAATGGGTGCGCGCAAGCGTTGACACGACGCACACATGCGCGCGGTTGCTATATTTGTCGGTTCAGTGCGTGAAATCACATAGCTGCAATCGGCTAAATGAGAGCATGTTCCAGATTCTGATTTCAGGCGCAGTTCAAAACATGACTCTGCAACTTTGAATTAAAATTGAGATCCTAGAATATTGTGTTCTTGGAATATACAGCATTCACTGAGCTAAAATTTCATCAGGTTAGTTGTCAAGCACCCGTCTTTAAATTTTGAGCACTTTTGTTGCTTCAAACGAAAAACTCCACAAATGACAAATGATCTACTCGACCTTTAACAAGCTTTACATGTGTGTCTCTTAATTGTATCAATACCTTTGTCCACAGATTGCTGTGATTGTTGGTGGAATGTCGGCGCAGAAGCAGGAACGCGTTCTGAAGAAACGGCCTGAGATAGTGGTGGGCACCCCCGGAAGAATATGGGAACTTTTCAGAGAGGTACACATTCATTTCTTTATTTTGTAAAAAAACTCCCATGTCAATTTTGTTTTCTCCCGAGATGCAACTCAGCTTCAAAACCTAAGCTTGAATTTGCATCATTTCTTGAGCAAAGCCGAGGGTGGAACCCCTGATCATCTAATTTTGCATCCTCCCTTGCTCATGTGTAATAGTAACTATTGAAACTATTTAACTTTCTACAGGGGGAGCCACACCTATCGACAATGTCAGGAGTCCGGTGCCTTGTTCTGGATGAAGCAGACAGAATGGTTGAGAAGGGACACTATGAACAACTGACTGAAATAATAAGGCATATGAATCAGTGAGTTTCTTTAAAAAAAAATTGGTGCTTTAAATCCAAACTGAAAAGAGCCGAGATCTGTTTATTGCCAAAACTGATAGGGTATTCAGTCAAATATTGTTAATCTATGTTTAACCCTAACCTTTCCAAATCCTCCCAAATTATCTCTGCAAAATGGAGGATTTTGCAGGATTGAGGCTATATGGCAAAAATGCACGGCTGATTTTGGAGGATGCACTGTGTCAAGGTCTTAGGCCGGACCTTGTGTTGTTTATGCTCAGCAGTGCATACATTTAGACCTAGATTATACTTGAAATCCTCTGCACTGCTCGAGGACGTCACTGGCTCTGTTTTTACAGTGATTGCTGGAGGATTTTGCAGGATTGAGGGGTCAGTGGAGTGAAAACTTTTGTTTCCTAAAGAGAAATTGTTCACGAACTTTAATGGCATCAATTTTGTTTTTTACATTTTTTTTTAAACATTTATAGTTCACCAGCAAGTCTTCAACGGCAGACGTTTGTCTTCTCGGCAACGTTAACCCTGGTGCACCAGGGATCAGACCGGAAGAACTTGGGCAACAAAGCCAAGAAGAAGACCCCTAAACAGGAGAAGAAAGACAGGAAAGACAAAATCAGTAAGCAGATATGATATTATACGCTTAGCAATATTGAAATTGTAATTTACATGGCCTGGCATGGGTGTCGCAGTGTTGCGTTAAGCACTCACCTCTCTCCGTTGTGGCTCGGGTTCGATTCCCAGCTCGGGTCATATGGGAGTGGAGACAATACAAAGTCTGAATAAACTGAAGAAAATTTCAAGAAATATATCTTGCCGTTTGAATTCAAGCAGGCAAGTTGATTGTCTCATTTTTGAGATGTTCTTAATTTTTTTTGGTAGATGCTTTGATGAAGAAAGTTGGGATACGAGATGACCCAACGGTCGTTGATCTGACGCAGAAGCAGGGCACGGTAGCCAGTCTAATGGAAGCCAAGATCATATGTGATGTTACTGATAAGGTAATATACCGAAACCAGACCCGAAACCAGACCAGGTCCGAAACCAGACCCACATAATAGATGGATTTTCCAACACACATAAACGACTTGTGAAGTAATGCTGCAATATTCTTTAAAATGTAATTTGTTGAATCTTTCCAATCGGATAAATATTTATTGAGTTATGACCAATTAAATATTAGTACTGCTTTTTCGTTTTGTCCATGCCGACTTATATTTTGACTGCTGTGATAAGAACACGGTCCGAAACTTGCATTTGTGAAAAAGGCTACCAAGTGGAGGGCAGAGACAAAGCAGCACAGTAAACATCTAAGAAGTTAACCTAACAGTTCTTTTCAGGACTACCATTACTTCCAAAAGGATAAATGACCATTGTTTCAATAAAACAAAACCAAAAAAACTAATAAAGAAAGAAATATTAAAACATTGTAGAAAGCAAAATTACCCTTGCCCCAAATCCATTACATTCCCAACAAATGACAACTGAGAACGTGGACAGATTGAAAAATCGGTACTTATTTTGAATCGGCCATGAGTCAATAAATATTTACCTGATTGGAAATATTTTGAAAAGCTAATGAAATATACTCTCTAAATGTGTAGCAATATTTGCGATATATTTTTGTAAAAGCTGTGAAAAAAGGGAGTTTTGAGGGTTCGGCTTTTGCGAGACACCCTGTAGAATGAAGTTGTTGAAATCTTTAACCCTAACGTACCTGAATCCATCAAAATCCACACCCCTGTTTTTGAGTATTTCAGCGGATTCAGGATACCTCCATATTGAAAAAGTTGGGGGATTTTGATGGATTCAGGACAGTAAGCCTAGCGGTACTGCAGGATTTTGATGGATTCAGGATACCTCCACATTGAGCAGTTGGGGGACTTTGATGGATTCAGGATCTCAACAGTTTATCTCCTTGGATATATGTTTGGTGTGTACGCGGTATATGTACAATGTACTACACTGGTGGATTCTGATGGACTCACTGGTGGATTCTGATGGACTCAGGACACCAACATTTTTTTGCATGACAAAATGTGTTTTGGCGGATTCAGGATCCTTTCTAGTAAAAGTGCTCAAGGGGTATTCCACAATACTTTCGTTTCTTATCACAGACGTATTCAGAATGAATAAAGTTTACCTAAAAATCGTCTTCTTTTTTTGCAGGACATCTACCTATATTACTTCCTGCTACAATTTCCCGGCCGGACGTTGGTTTTCTGCAACAGTATCGACTGCATCCGTCGATTGTGCTCCATCCTGACGTTGCTAGCCTGTAACCCACTGCCCCTGCATTCATCTATGCATCAGAAACAAAGACTGAAAAATCTGGACAGGTGTGCAGGCTATGTGTTCCTAAAATTCCAATTATTGAAATTTCTATGCCTTTTGCCTGTTTATGTGATCTTTTTATGTGTCGGTGCATTTTTAGTGGAGTGCTGTTGCCTTGTGGTCTGGAGCATTGAATTCAAGATCTGCGGGTAATTCTGCAGGTTGTGGGTTCCAGTCCAGCCTGGGGTTGTGGTGCGTGTGCCCTTGGGCAAGGCACTTTGTCACTCATTGCTTCTCCCCACCCAGGAGTAAATGGGTACCTGTGAGGGCAGAGATGGTTATTGTGATTGATTTCAGCTGCTTTGCGCCAAAATGTCAGTATTGAGCTGTACACTCCCCAGGGAGCTGAGATTGTCTTTGGAATGTTTCATTGGCCCAATGAGCAGGGGTAATAATGATGTAGCGCCTTGAGCACCAATATTGGTGGATATGTGCTCTTTACAAATTTGCATAACTATTAAAAGTTTGTGCCATTTCTTAAAGGTTTGCCTCCAACCCCAAGGCTCTGCTCCTAGCCACGGACGTAGCAGCGAGAGGATTGGATATCCCTGATGTGGAGCACGTCATCCATTACCAAGTGCCCAGGACTTCGGAGGTAACAAGATTACATCTCAATCTTCAAAGATTTAAGTGCGTTCTTGGCAACAGTTTTGTGGTCAAGTCTGTCACAAGTCCAGTCACAAGTAACAGAGAATGAACAATAACATAGGACTGCTTTTGTCACGGTTCATTTGAATGACTGCAGAGTTGACTGTGGACCGGATGGTTTGCAAAGGACTTGTTAGAACATGAGGACTCGTAATGGATTTGGCTATAAGGATGTGAAGTTTACACATTTAAAGAAAACAATTCCAAATCCATTTACAAATTTCCCAGAACTTTTAAACAAAACCAGAATTATAAAAAAGGGACCTACGTTCATGTGGTTTTCCTTTGAATTAAATATACTTGGGCATAGTACAAATAATTAACAAGGTTTTCAAACCTGTTTAATATACAAAACAATTTTTTAAAAGTTGAAGAAAGAAATTGACTGGAGCGGGGTTTGAACCTGCGCCCTCCGGATTACCGTTCCGGTGCTCTACCAACTGAGCTACCCAGCCCTATGTTGGCGGTTCCCCAATTTGTCAATCTTGTTCAACCTTAGTATCACCGAAGTGCTTGATTACTTTCGGGGTACACGTTAACTTTTTTACGTCTTCAATGACGTAATTTTTATTGTCAATCATTGTTGAGTTTTCATGACAATCACGCAGGTCTGCAGCCATAATGGGCAGGCATGAAACGGCTAAACGTTTAAACAGTTCTTAAAAACATTTGCTAAACGTTTACAGAATGAAATGCAAAGTCACATCCTTGCTTGACTGCAACACTGTCTGTTGAGGTTGAGTAATGGAAATTGAAATAATGTACATCGTTTGATTTCTTTGGTTCTTGGTTCAGACTTACATTCATCGTAGCGGACGTACCGCCAGACAAGCCAAGGAAGGCATCAGCGTCATGTTGGTCTCTTCATCTGAAGCTCACTTCTTCAAGAGAGTCTGCAAGACGTTAAAAAGAGGCAAGTTGAATTCCCCCCAAACTTTACAATTTAAAAATCCCAAAACCCAGCCCAACTTTTATCATTAACCTCTTGCTAAAAACCTTCCTAATTCTGCACTAGTCAAATTAGTTCAAAAAGTGCATATCAGCTTATCTTGTTGGGAAGATTCTAGCCAAAAGTGCACAAAGTGCCTCATCTACTGACTGAGTTACTCACAAGTACAAATGATGGCTTAAACTGCCTGAAAATTCCACATTTGCAAACATCAAAAAGTGAAACTGCAAATGTTGCATATTACCTTTAACTCATTTTAATAATACTTTGCATTTCAGATGACATTCCAAGTTTCCCGGTAGACCACATGTACTACAACGCTGTTAAGGAGAGGGTGGATTTAGCTCGTCTTATCGATCAAACGAATCACCGTGTGGAGAAGAAGAAACACGCAAATGAATGGTTCATCAAAGCAGCGAAGGAACTGGACGTTGACCTGGATGAAGATTTAGTGTATCCTTTCAAACTACTGTAGAGAGATATACTATTATTGTTATTTATTTTCTGGCAATGAAACCAAGGATTCCTCAAAAGTGCCCTCTACAAGGTAACTCACAAGCTGAAGAAACCTGTAGAGAGGAGACAATGAGAAGAAATGACAGTTTTAGAGATGGGAGGAAAACCCAGAATAATATTCTGGGGGAAACCCACGGAATTAGGTAGGGATTGAAAATCCAATCCACATATTGGCCCAGGCAGGAATCGAACCCGGGTCACAGCAGTGGAAGGCGAGGAAAGAATCACTACGTCAACCCGACAGTTAATACAAACCCTGTTACGACAAAATTATGGTCGTGGACTCGGTGTGCAAGTACCCTCTCAACGGTAAGAAGGGAGAGTTGGGGAGACCACTGGGAGAGACATTTGAACGCATTGCTGACGATGCCTGACGCTCACGCAGAGATGTTACTGTTTGTGCACATTCAGAATAAAATTAGTTGTGCTAATTTCGCGTAATACGCGCGCGAACCAGTAATTGCAATTCAAGCAAAGTCCGTCCCGAGCCAATGCCCATCAGGCCAGTGTTTATGTCCGGTTTCCTTGACATGAAACGACTGAGAATATTTCTGTTCCCCCTGGATGGGATGCTAGTCCATCGCATGTTACTCCCCAGCTAATGCCTGTACCCATTTATACTCCTGGGTGGAGAAAGGCGAGGGTGAGGTGGCCTGCCCAAGAACACAACATATGGTCAGCAGCTGGAATTGAACCCCTGACCCTCTGATCATGAGTCATGAACCGTAACCACTAATCATGAAATGACAATATCTACTGCTGTTTCTATCATTGCTGCTGCTGGTGGCGTTGCATTGTGACAGGAGCACGTTACTGCTTCAGCAGTTTAACAATCTCAGAAACTAATATTTAAATGATACACAAATTAATTCTTAATGTCTGTTATCTCAGCTTACATGATCTAGGAGATGCAAGAGAGCAAGGACAACATGATAGGAAAGTCCAGCACATGAAAGGTAGCGATAAGGCTCCTTAGCTTAACAGAAATTTGCATTTAAAGCACTGTATGGTTTGATCGATTCTTCAGTGAATGAACACAATGTAATACAATGTAATACATTGTAATACAGGTGTTAATTGGTATAATTGACATGTTCTTGCAGGGGAATTGAAGTCACTTCTGAAACGTACCGTCTTCCCTCGTGGCTCATCGTGGCTTTATCCAACGGCGGCTGGCAAGCTGGTCACCCCACTCACACAAGGTTAGTATTGATCATTGGTATGAATATCATAATGTACATTAAAGGCACATAGCATTATTTGCATTTTATCCCCAAATTAACCTATCAAATTATCATCAAAAAGCTTACTTGGATTGAAGATCGTACTGGTACTAAACACCCCGTGAAATTATTCCCTCTGGTATGCTGTCATTTAGAAGAAATCAAGAAATGTAGGTGATTTCCAACGATCAGTCAGTCGACTAATTTTTGGAATAAAGAGTGCTATTTATGAACATGTTTCGCGATCAAAAGGTTGCGCATGGTTTTCACTGTGTTCTCGAAAAGTGTAATATCCACTGAGCTGAAACTTCAACAGGTTAGGTTTTGAACGTTCTTCTTTGGATTTTGAGTGGTGTTTTTGGAAACGAACAAAATGCACGCAAAGCAAATGATCAGGTATGCCTTTAAGGTAATAAGTTCAATGGTACAGTTATATACATGGGATTATACACTAATATTCCAATCTCAATGAACTGCCACATGATGCAATGCTATAATTTCTAAGAAAACATTGCGTATGTTCTTGTGCAGGTACCAGCAACGCTTTGAGCATCGTCAAGCAGAAGGTCGGCAAGAGGAAACAAGATGGCGGCCAAGTACAGACAGAACCTGCAAAGAAAGTCAAGAAATCTAAGAACAAATTCAAGAGAGCTGAGGTAGAGACAGTGTAGTTCAATAAATGAATATTAAGTTGGAGAAACTTAACCCAGTTCATGCTTCATGCAATTGTGAAGCGAATTTGATGTTATGAAACATTCGCTGTGAATTTGCCCGAGTTGAAATATGTTCAACTTTGACGAATTCGCAGCGCGACTGCTTGCTCTGACGTCACAAATTTGCGTTTCCTTTCGTTTTCGTGCTGAGTATGAACTGGCCTTAATTTTGAACATTTGTCAACCTCATAATTTTTAGAAGTTTTCTGAACTATGGGAAAATTGTTGATATGATATTTGTTATCATAATTACGTATATTTTTAATCTGACCCATAATTCGGATGTTAAAAGTTTGAATTTTACTTTCATAACATTGGTCAAAATGTCAGAAATGCTTGTAATTATAATGGCAACGGACCACATGAAATTTAAAATTCAAGCATATTATGTTTAATTTTTTCATTAATTCAATCTTGTTTTAACCAGTTCACGCTGGGATTATTTTGACAAGAACGGAACGAGGCGCGGGATTACTTTTCACTCGACCTCACGCCTGGCGGGTTGAAGCCATCACCCTCGGGCAGCACACTCATATTTCTGGCCTCACTCGTTGTGAGCGGGTAGCTGACAGATATTTCCGGCCTCGCTCCCTGCGTGTTTATCTGTCATCCGTTCCAAATACCGCAAACTTTTGCGTGTATACACAGCCTCCGGCGCAAACTGGTTAAATTTATTCCATGGCACTCAGTAATACATGTATACATAAAACCATACAGTGGAATTTTGGGAAAGAATGTTGCATCCCGACGCCACGTTTTTCATCATATATTATCTCAATGAAGGTCAGTTGTCGCAAAACTGTTGAAAAGACATGAATCTGGAACTGAGAAACATTTGCAATTTTGAAACATTTGTACAAATAGACTTTGTACACCACTACAGAAGTGGCGTCTGGATACTACATTCTTCCTGAAAATTTTATGTATACTTTTAGTTTCGTTGATTTTTCAGAAATAAACAAATCAAATGTATAATTTATTGCTCATGAAATTTCGTACTTTATTTTTAACAAAATTCAGCCAAGAAGTTGGCATTGGACTACACCATTATTTTAAGTTGCAAATAATTTCATTTTTATAGTAAATTTGTTGAGTCTGTGTTCAGATAAAACTGGAAGTACAAAATGCCATAAAAATTGTCAGAAAAATTGTGTTTTGAATTAATTTCAATTTAGAAAATTTTAAAACGGTACTTGCTAGCTCAAACACACACAAGCACATACAATTTTAATACAAACATCCAAGCAATTTCATTGCGATACAAGATTTGATACAATTAATACAAAAATCCTCATGAAATTTTACGTCATCATCGCATGATTCACACATTGTTATACAAGAAGTTATTTCGCAAAATTGCTGGAGAAAAAGTGATCCGATAAATACCTCATATTTTCTCTCATCTTAAACTCGGGCGAAAATCAATTTCTGAAATCAAATTCATAGTAATAATAATAATAATAATACATTTGTAATCTGGTGCTTATATAGCGCTTTACACCAAAGGTCTCAAAGCGTTTCACAATTATTACCCCTGTTCGTCAGGCCATGAGACCAGTTTTCTGCAGCAGCTCGAGATCAGCGCATTCTGGTCTCTACCTTCACAGGTGTCCGTTTATACTCCTGGGTGGAGAGAGGCAATTGTAGTGAAGTGTCTTGCCCAAGAACACAAGCACCATGTTCCCATCAGGCTCTAAAACCACGTACCACGGCACGCGAGTCGAACACCGTAACAACTGGACCACAGTGCTCATATCCGACTTTAAATTTAGCTTTTCCAATACACTTTTTTGAGTTGAAACATTTCTGAATAATTATAGTTTGCTTACACATTTCAAGATATTACTATTTTGGTGGCTTTTACCCATCACACTTATAATTACTGATACATTTGTAAAGCATATTTCGATTTTGTTTATTGAACTGGCAAAATTTACAAGATTAGCACTGATTGGCAGACTTATAAAAGAGAATACAAATATGGTAAAACTTGAACTACTTGTTCCAAAACTTTTACAAATTGTGTAGAAATGTCAATGATCAACATTGACAGACACATTTTGCGTGTCAAAAACACTGGCCACAGTGGCCAGGCGACCACAATAGACAGGTTGCCACAGTGAATGCAAGTAAATACGGACAACCAATTTTATAAATCCCATTCTATATATACTGGAAATTATTCCGAAACCAATTTTAAAAATCATCATCTTTATTCCGTGTACGAAAAGATTTCATTTATAAAACTATTAACCCTAATCTACGGAAAAAAAAATTATTGTAAGAAATCTGTTTCACAATTTCACTTTGTAAAATTTACAACCAGTAATTTTTCGAAATCGCTCTTAATCTCAGTAGGTCTGGCATTCAGGCTACTACGAAGGATTCTACACACTTGTATTATATTTAGCAACACACCATGGTAGCCTGGAAACCACACCAATGTAAAGGAGCTAAGATGGTCCGAAACTCCTCACATACTCTGACTTTACTGACTCTACTTGAGGACGACGTAGCTTGCATCGGTCGCCACGCCACAATTGTTGTCTTTTTGGTCCATCAGGATGTAGCCGTTGTTGCCCCAGTAGGTGGACCAGGAGTTCTTGACGATCCAGTAATTAGTGGGCTCGGTCTGGTTCCCAACCTTCTCGGAGCCATAACCCACAAGCAGCACTGCATGGTCAAGGTCCTTAGGCTTGTTGCCTGCATAGATAAAACAATAAGTAAAACTTTGACCAAAATTGCACAGACTGTAAAGTATTTCACGAAATGTTTTTCAGGACGTAAGCCTGACACCTTCGCAACACATTATGAGGTTACTTACAGTTATGTTAGGTGGCATTAGCTATGACGTACCCATATTTTAAAATGGCAACTTTACTGATTTTCGTGTTCGCTGTAAAACCCATCACTGTCCAACCTATAAAGACTTTGAGAAGTTTGTTTATTAAGAGGTAAATAAAATGCTTCTTTACTTCAGGCAAAGAGTTGCATGCTCGTCTACTTGTGATTTTGAGAGTTGCCACCTGATTCCAAAGAAAGTCTGACAAAAACTGTTTTCAAAATGGTGAGTGTAGGTGATTCAACGACTGTTATCTTGACCGATATGAAAGCTTGAACAACAACAGCCGTCTTTCAGCTGTGGTTATCCTTGTCCAAGATGTTTCAAATATTTAAAAGTTGCGCAGCTACGCCAAGTTTCATGAAATTAATCATAAGTTTAATGCACTGCTTCGCGACAAACTTGTTTGGCATGTTCTACGCATGGCTTGAGGGGCCGTGTGATGAATTTCTGTATCTGCATATTATAGTCGGTAAAGCATCCCAGGGGAAACATCACACCAATAGAGAGAAGACAATGAGAAGAAATTACAGTTTTAGAGGTGGGAGGAAAAGCCCAGAAGATATTCTGGGGGAAAACCCACGGAATCAGGTAGGGACTGAAACCCCATTCTGTATCTGTATCATCTGTATCAATATAGTCGGTAAAGCATCCCAGGGGAAACATCACACCAATAGAGAGAAGACAATAAGAAGAAATTACAGTTTTAGAGGTGGGAGGAAAAGCCGGGAAGAATATTCTGGGGAAACCCACGGAATCAGGTAGGGACTGAAAACCCAATCCACATATTGGCCCAGACGGGATTCGAACCCGGGTCACAGCGGTAAAAAAGCCAAAACAGTAAAAGTAAAAAAGCCACAACATCATCGGGGCAAACTGCCCCTTAAAGTTATGCAATGTTTTGTGAAATCAGCTACTATTTCGGGTCTTACCACAGTTCTTGTCAAAGTAGATCCCGGAATCATAGAAGCCGAACGTCTTAAGATGGGCATCGATTCCAATAGTGATGGGACCCTTGTTTGCCACAGCTGCCACCAAGTCTGTGATATTCCCAGACGTTACGTTCACATAGTTCATGAGTTGAACAGAAGCTTTCTTAGGATCATAGTGACAAATCCCGTTCTGTAAACAAAGACAGGTTATATAACATTCCAAATCAACAACTGTAATATTCATATTTACAATTCATCGTATCGCCACGAGGTGACGTATCGTGTGCACAATGTCTATAGACAATCCATCACTTCATGGTGTACTCAATGAATTGATTTAGAATGGAAATTCACTGTTAGTCTTTCGGCTTTTGCAGGCAGAGTTGTAATGACTCGAGTCAATGACTCGACTCGAGTCCGACTTGAGTCACAATGTTTGACAACTCAATACGACTCGAGTACCAACAGGTATTGACTCAAATCCCTCATAAGAAGACTCGACTCAACTCGAGCTGAAGGCTAATAACACTTGAGTCCAACAATGTGCGAAAGTATGTTTCCAGTGACTTACGATACAAAGTTATTTTTAATCATGTACTTCACCACTTATCGCGCACAAATTTAAGCCGTATCACAGACTCCCACCTCCTGGTTTTATAATGTAGCGAACTATTATCCCGGAAGCAGACTCAAAACGTATTTCCCAATTCATTGGCTTCAGGCGATTTCTTAAGCCCTTGATGGAACTTAGGCTAAAAAAGCAATTGGATATATTTCTATACATGTATAATCAGAAAAAGTTTTGTATGTCGCGTTAAATGTTACGTAGATCTTAGGTAGAAACGTCCAGCAGAAGCTGTCTATTGGGTACCATGCAGCATATTTTAAGTCTTTGGATCTCTACAATAAACTGGTGCCTTCTTGGTGTGTTCCTTCTTGCATTCTGTATTTACTAGATGGTGTTCAAATATCAGTGACTCAAATTGACTCGACTCGACTCGACCACACAATGTGACTCGACTCGACCTTCTTGACCTAATGACTCAACTCAACTTGAGTCACTTCCTTCCATGACTCGACTCGACTCGAGTCACAACATTCAGTGACTTGTTACAACTCTGATTGCAGGTAGTCCTATACAAGAGCACTGCCCAGCACTCTTCAAAAGCCAGCAAACAGGCTTACGAGTCATGTGTGACAGCGAGTCAGTCGGGGAGTCAGTCAGTCAGCCGGTCCAGTGGCGCACCCAGAATTTGGCTTGGGGGGGGGGGGGGGGCCTCACAGTTTTTTTTGTAGAAATTTGAATTTTGTTAAAAAAATGTTGCCCAAAACGTTTGGCCGCGGAAATTTTTTTTTTGGGGGGGGGGGACGACGGACTAGTTTGACAGTGGCGCTATTATACTCCTCGTAAATAGGCCACATACATATCACCACGGTCAAATTGTGGGACTAAAAAATAAGTAAGTACACAGAGACACCAAGCTAGCACTCATGATACGAGTCAGCAGTGTTTACCTGTCCCATGTAAGGCCCGTAGTCTTCCTCTGACATCAAGCCATTGTTTTTCATAATCCATGAAAACGCCCGCCATTCCTCGCCCCCATCACACGCGTTATCACCGTAACCCCAGCTGCAGTCCATCAAATTCTGCTGCGAAAATCGCACCATCTTCTTGTTCTGTTGAAGGAAAAATGGGACAAGTCCAAACAATTTTTAAAATTGACAAACTGAAATGTATTGCAAACCATTTTGGCAACATGGTTTGAAGGCGTTCAGACAACTAACAATAAAAAGTGCGAATTTCGAATACAGTGAATAAACTCTCAATAGAGCCTGAAAGTTTACCCCTGGTGGCACACTTCCGGACCCTTGAAAAGGAAAATTAATGTGTAAAAGTCTGAGTTTCAAAAGAAAATAATTTGCTACATTGATTTCTTCAGAAAATCACCCTGGGAAAAGGCCTTTGTATCATTGTTACTAGCATCTCAATTTTTTTGAAACTGAAAATCGTATGATGTGAAAGAGAAATATCGTGCCAAAAATTGACCTCTCACTTGCGAAAGTGTAAAATACTTGTGGACTAGTGGAACTTGGTGCATTGGTACAAAGATGGTGGTCATTTGGTGAAAACAGAAACTTCAGTAGGAGACTAACTTGGCTAAGCCGGCCCAGCGTGCGTTTAAAAGACATGTAGTTCTGGTGTGATATAAGTGTGCAAACAAATGTAAAATGACCGCTGATGAGAACTGTATTCAAGCAAGCCCGACTAAATCTAGAATCTATCGGATGTAGGTAGGTAAATGTTCGCGTCGTTATCACTTCGTTCTCACGCAGGTACCCGATATGAAAATAGCGTGATCGAACAAGGAGACCTAGATACGAAAATGCCGGATGTGAAAGGACGTAAGTAAAATTTGTTTTTACCCATCTCCAACTAATTTCTCATCAATTTTTCTTGTGGAATGCCGAGGTAAAATTTCAACATGAATATTTCTTGGGGTGATTACGATTGGAAATCATTCTGTCAAAAATTATAGCAAGAGAAAGGGCAATCCCGTGTAAAATGACAGTAGAAGGGTCGCAGAGGGGTTCGGAAGCTCAAAGAAAAAAAATGAATACTTTCAGACTCTATCGACATCCATTCACCTATGCCATGTGATGTTTCAAACGAATCACAGCCGAGATTAATATCTGACAAAAGTCCAACACATGTATGATGAACATAATGAAGTGTCTAAAACATACAGTGTTGCATTGGAGGGGGGCGGTAAAATCAACAACTTTTTCAGCAAAGCTGACGTTGTTTATACCTTCAGAAAGTAGGCTCCTTCGATTGTCTCTGCGGCTCCGAAACTCCAACAGGAGCCACAAATAGCCTGATCCTTGACTTGGGACACAGCTCCTGTATAGGAATCAACAAGACAAAGCTAGGCTAGTAAAGCTGGTCCCAGAGTGCACAAAACTTCTATGTAATTTGGGCGATTCACAATGCAGTACGCCACCAAGAGTTTGCCACGGAGAGTTCATTTTTCCCAGTGCATTGTGGGAGGTCGACAAATTCGCAGCGCAGGACTTTTGAAATTGTTAGTTTTACCGGTCAGTAGTTTCGTAAACGTCTGATTCGAGGATCTGTTTGCCCTTTTCTTTTCTTTCTATCAATAAGGTGTTTTTGTAAGGCGGCATGAACGCTATGCCCCAATCTATAACAAATTAGCTCAAGTTGTCTACTGACACTCATTCAAATGGGCCATGTTTTGTCGACTGTAAACTTGAAAAATGGACTCTCCATGGCAAACTCTTGGTGGCGCACTGCATTGTGAAACGCCCAAATCGACTCAGAATGACTATTTACTGGAAGTCTTTGATGCATGTGGATGAGATGGGCCGGATTATCATATTCTGTGGTTCATCCCAACACATACGGTGTGTACAACTATAGCTCTTAAAAATCTCATAAATATGTATCCATATCTGCGATGTATATTTGTAAAGGCTGTGAAAATGAGAGCGCTTTGAGGGTTTTGGTTTTTGGGGACACCCTGTTGATACAGTGTCAATGAGGATTTGAAGTGTGACGTTCCATACCTTGAAGACGCCAATCCACAAAGCCTGGAGGTGCTGGAGCGTTCCGGAACTCAGCATGAGGGAAGGGTTGGCCACCGTTGTAACCAGTGGAAGTACGCCGTCCACGCATCACACGTAGCTCATCATCAAACTGATCGGCTAGGTGATTGACTCCTAGCTTGTAGCTCAGACCTTGACGATTCACACCATGGATGAATCTAAGACACACAAAAAATACTGAGTTTTTTTCGAAGGGCATTCCATTCCCTACTGGGCACTTCGTGGTATCTCAAGCAGCATTGTCAAAAAGATGTGTCAAAATCGATATATAAAATAAAACTCAGTGATGGACACTTGTACAATTTTTTTGGGAGAAAGTATTTTTGGGGGGGGGAACGGCAACAATCTTTCATAGGCCATCAGCCTGGGGGTTTGGTCAGTATCAAATCAGGGCATAAATGATTATAGTGCGTATGCGCAAGGTATACCGCCCCTAGAGTGGTAACAAGCATTTTCATGGACAATTTGAAAAAAGGGTGATAACACCCAAAAAGCTGCCACCGCTGCAATGCTATCACATATTTTCCAACTCTGGAGGTGTATACCTTGCCAAAAATCGCTATGACGATTATTCCCCTCATTTGATACTGGTGGCCAACATTTTGGACCGAGGCTGATGGCCTATGAGAACTGATTTCAAGAATTTTTAAGTTCTGAAATTTTGAACAATTAAGCAATCAATCAGTGAGAAGCAAGTTTTGTTATGGACAAAAATGGGTTGAAGTTTGAAAACAGGTTGTTGTAATGACTTTGGGGAGTGTGGCCTAGTGGTTAGGGTTCGGAACTCATGATCAGAGGGTCGGGGGTTCGAATGCAGCTGCTGACCACATGTTGTGTCCTTGGGCAAGCCACTTCATCCCCACTTGCCTCTCCACCCAGAAGTATAAATGGGTACCTGCATTAGCTTGGGAGTAACCTGCGATGGACCGGCATCCCATCCAGGGGGAATAGAAATATTCTCAGTCGTTTCAGGCCACGAAAACTAGGAGATAAACGCCGGCATGATGGGCCGTATCGGCTCGTGACAGACTTTGCTTCTAACTTTATTTTGTGATGTATTTTATTTACCGAACGTTGTGCGTAAACTGCGTCTTCCTCTGCACATGCTCAACTTCATCCATGTATTTCTTTCCGTGAGTTTCCTTGAATTCTGAGAACATCTGATGGTAACGATCTCCATGTTCTGGGTTGATGAGTTCTCGGTAGGGATTAGCGACGATGTGATGCTCTATACCCGGACCGGGGAAACTACCACACTTGATCCCTGCACAAAATAAAACAGTCAACGTACTTTAACTGCATTCTGATTTGGTGAAGAGATCTGACATTGTGCATTGGTTAACTCAAAATTGGTTGTGCAAAATCATTTTCTCAGACACTTTTTATGTCGCATTTCAGGACAAGGTTAAATCTTTGACTTTTGTGTGAAACATCCTGGCAAATTCCAACACCATATGGGAAACCGCACACACATATTTCTGACTTTGTTTCTGGAGGTGTGCCAACCCAATGTAAAAGACTGTCAGTTTAGGGGTACTGTACCCATCCCGACAGATTCCAACAAGACATGCCGTCAGGGTTTGATGGGTTGAGTTCTATTAGGGCTAATATAATATACTAGGGTTAATAATTAATATATAATGTATTATTGTTCAAACGCAAATATAAAACCCAATTAATTAACAAATATGTGGTAGAATAATCTCATTTTGTAAGACCAAATAACTCTAGTTTTATTTCGTATAATGCTAGCTCTGTACCAATAGTTTTTGTTATTTAACTCCTATCGTTGTACTTGTACTTGTAATTAATTGTAACTGTAATTGTAATTGTAATTGTAATTGTTCTTTATTACAGTGGGGGTCTCCACTCGACAAGCTTATGCTTTTTGGAGACCTCCATCCATCCATACACAATAACTCAAATGTTAAGTAATATTATATGTACATGTATGTGTTGGGAAAAATAAAAAGATTTGATTGATTGATTGAATATAAGCAACATTTGTTTTAAGGTACGTTTCAGGAAATGGAATATGACAAATACTTGCCTTTCGGGGTGTCAAATGTCGACGGAGGAATAAACGTCTTGTTGTCAAAGAAGGAATAATCGATGATGTACTTGTCAAAATGTGAACCCAATAGCGAGTCAAGACCAAACATCTCGTAGCGCATTGGGACACCAGGTTTCGTTGTCGACACATAGAAGGAATATTTGTTGATCTTTGTACTGCCGTTGACAGTGACGGTTTGCTTCCAGACATCGGCCATCTCTCCATCAATCATGTCCTGTCCTCCATACTGTATGAATATATGAATAAATGAATATATTATATCAATGAATAAATGAATATAAAATATGACGGTTTGCTTCCAGACATCAGCCATCTCTCAATCAATCAGGTCCTTCCCTCCATACTGTTAAATATATGAATAAATGAATATATTATATCAATGAATAAATGAATATACAATATGACGGTTTGCTTCCAGACATCAGCCATCTCTCCATCAATCAGGTCCTTCCCTCCATACTGTTAAATATATGAATAAATGAATATATTATATCAATGAATAAATGAATATACAATATGACGGTTTGCTTCCAGACATCAGCCATCTCTCCATCAATCAGGTCCTTCCCTCCATACTGTTAAATATATGAATAAATGAATATATTATATTAGCAATGAATAAATGAATATATAATATATGACGGTTTGCTTCTAGATATCAGCCATCTCTCCGTCAATCATTTCCTTCCCTCCATACTGTTTGAATATATAAATGAATATATTATATCAACAATGAATAAATGAATATATAAGAATATAACAGCTTCCATACTTCAGCAGTATGTTAATCAATTACTGCCTGTCCTTTATACCATAGATATAAACTTAAATGAATATATTATATTCATGAATAAATGAATATGTTATGACATTTTTTTTTCAAAACATCACCAATTTTTCGACCAATCATCTCCTGCCCACCATAGTATTAGAATATATGAATAAATGTATATATTATATCAATGAATAAATGAATATGTAATGATTTTTTTTTTCAAACAGCAGTTTCTGTACCAATCATCTCATGCTCTCCATACTATTGGAATATATGAATAAATGAATATATAATATAAAACTTTTCTATTTGTAAGGAGTCATTCCATCAATTATCCCCTGCCCTCCATATTATTAGAATAAATGAATGTATCATTAAAGATGTTGCGGATTGCTTGAAGACATCTTCGTCATTAAAAAAAAACAGACCATCGTTTCTATAATGAAATTAATACGAAAGGTATTTTTAAGAGCTGTTTTTCATGTCCTGTTTCGGCCCGAAAGTGCAATTTGTGTGAAGTCATTGTTGGGCGCAGCAAACAAATCATATCAAAAGCATGACGTCATAAACAAGACTCCCGACGCAGTGTAGTTCCAGTGAAACTTTTTGCAAATCACTCCGCGCAACTAGAGGCTCTTGTTTACAATACTCTAAGCGACATTTTGTATGGGCAGCCACATGCGCCATTAATTCAAATGTAGTGGGTAACAGCTTTTACCCCCAACAAGTCTCATTGACAAGTTCAATATTTAAAGTAATAATTGTTTGGAAATGCGACCGTACATACCGTGAAGTGAGTCAGATCTGGGATCATACTCTGGGGCATCACAGGTGCATCTTTCGTGCCGTTGATTTGGAAGCAGGATACCGGGTTGACGATGGTTCCTTGACCCATCACGGAAGGTGAGATCTTATATGTATTCCCATAAGGTTTCTGATCACCACGATAGAACACCTTGTCCAAACCTAGAGAGATTCAATATTCATGTAATATATATTTAGATTAATCACAAAGTGTTGCTGTTTCCAGTAAGCTAAAACTCTTACAAATTATCAACTTTCATAATTCAAAACCCAGATTATTTTCCTTTGGACCTCGTGTTTTTCTTTTACAACAATAAATCAAGTAATACACTTTTTAAAGGTAGAGTACAGATATGTCACTTGTGCATTTTTTTTTTTAACAAGGTTGCTTTACAACTAACCTGATGAAGGTTCAGCTCAGTGAATGCTGTATATTCTGAGAAAACAGTATTCTAGGATCTTCAACTCGAAACTTACCGAGTCATGTTTTGAATTGCGCCTGAAATCAGTGTCCGGGACATGTTCTCATTCAACCGACTGCAGCTATGCAATGTCAAGCATTGAACTGACGAATTGTAGCAGCCACACACGCATGTGCGTCCTGCTAAAGCCTGCGCGCACCAGTCGCCGAATTAAAAATGAATTATTAACAGAAATTTCCAAAAATGCATCACTTGACACATCTTTGGAAATGACCTTCTTTTATTGTTTTCTTCAAAATGACAGCATGCCAGAAAGAATAATTTCACAGGGAGTTTAGTGCCATTACTATCTTTAAACCAAGTAGCTTTTCAACAATAATTTTGTCAGTTAGTTTTTGGATAGCTGCAAATGATGTTCTCTACCTTTAACAGAGTTACAGTAAAATCCATAACGAATCCTTCATTCTCATGTAAAGTCACAAATTATTCAAATTAACTGTTACAAAAGCATTTCTTTGTCTAAGTTCACCACTTGATACTTGTGATCAGAATGGTGAAGGCCTTGTGATGGTGTCGACTACAATTTTGTTCTATTAAAGTGAAATAAATGCAATCTTGAAATACCATTGTAGAAATCAATTCTTCCCCAATGTTGGTGTGCTTTGTAGAAGACTTCGAATGGTTCATCCAGCTCGGCGTAAGGCAGCTTGACGCGTCCCCTGGCATGGTAATCATTCCCAAAGAATGGAGGCTTGTGAGCTGGTGCTGCTGTGGTTTTTGGGGCAGTAGTTTTGGGGGCTGCAGTAGTTTTTGGAGCTGCAGTAGTTTTTGGACGTGCAGTGGTTACTGCGGCTCCACAGCAACCTAGCAATGAGAAAGATGGAAATTCAAGAAGTGGTTTTAATTTTTAAAATGATTAGGGATCTATACCCCTTCGGCAAAAAAAAGCCAAATTAAATTAAATTCAATCCAGTAATCTTTTTAGTTTTGAGTTTAATATTGTAAAGTTTATAGTATCCGTTGTTAAGAATACAACATCAATGAGGTTATGAGTAGGTAGGGGGAGGGGTGGACATACGGCAAATGCTGAAAACTGGTGGGCATTTGAAAAGATGTATTCATCGAATGACATCACTCAAAACCTCAGTGATGGTTGATCATGTATATATGTTGACAAACAAACAAACCGACCAACCAACCAAAAATGAATTTGGAAACAAAGAATCAACCAACCAACCAAACATGAATTTGAAAATGGAAAAAGTGATTTAGACTTTTTGTTATTACAAAGCCTTGCTTTCTTGGAAAAAAAATTGGAAATATTTCTCAGACCCGAATTCACGTTTTCTGCAATTACTGACCATAACTGAAATAATACATATATGGAAATTGTGGCAGGAGGAAACAGTATTTGTTTAACTATTGAAGTTTAATTGAGAAAAATGAATAAATAGGTCAAAGGTCACTGATGCATAAACTTATCCCTGTGCGTTTTTTTCACAACTCGATAAAAAATAGGCAGTGTATATTTTGCCGGAGACGGCAAACCTTTAGTAAACGTTAGTTTGCCGATATGCACTGAACATGCGCAGTTACTGTTTTTTTGTATTCACAAGATGGGATTCAGACCATTTTATAATTTCGGACTTTATTTCCCTTTTAAAAAAAATCCTCCAGAGCCACAAATCTGAAAAAGAAAATGTAATACTCTGCAAAAAATGTTTGAGACATGTTAAAATAATAAAAGAAGAATATTCTTATTTATTTGGGGATGAGAAAAAAAACCATAAAAATGTGGTGCAGTCAGAATCGAACGCGAGTCATCCCGCTTACTAGAGCCTTTGCTTAACCATTACACCAAACGTGCTACACAACTTTTGGTGGGAATTTAATACATCTTATAATTCAGCCCTATTTTAAAGAGTACAGCGCCCTCTGTTGATATGGATTGCCGCCGGCAAACCTTTAGTAGGCCTAATCGTTAGTTTGCCGTCATTACCTCCGGCAAAATATCCACTATCTAAAAAATATTTTACTTAGCTCATTCGTCAGAAATAATGCGATATAAACACGTCAAAAGGCTGACAAAGTAAGCTTCATAATTCGATATACTAACCCACAAACGTAACCACTGCAAGAACCACGACGAAACGATGCATTTTGGCCACGAATCTTGCCTTTGAATGGAACACGAATTTACAAAGGCGCTAGGCGTAGCTGGATGGGGATGGTCCGGTCCCCAAATCGTATGTGTACAAATCTAACTGTACACAACTGGCGTGGTTGCAGAGCCCGACTGTCTGGTGACTGGTCACATGATTTGTCCAAAGTTTGAAGGGCACATGATCAATCTGAAGAGGGGCGGGGTCTGGATGAGGGGTGCAAATAATTAAAACGAAATATCGATAGAAAAAATTGATACATTGAAATTGTTACATATTTCTATAATGCACCAACAATCGATTGCTGCTAATTGTATTAATTTAGAATTCCACCTATATGCACGACTATTTCATGATTGCCACCTAAATTAAGTGGTTGGTCGACTTATTAAGAATATTTTATTCCTCCATTGGCGCAGCTAACCATTGTTTAGCCATACAAATGGTCCGTTAATTGGTCAGTCCATCGTTTGTTTAGTTAGCGGGTTTACTTCGTTAGTTGGTTTGTCTGTTGGTTGGTTGATCTGTGAATGCTGGATGACTGGATTGTTGATTTTATGGTGTTCTATGGTTGATTGGTTCTGTGGTAATAGTTTGTTCCAAAAATATCAACCAATAGAAAAGTTTTTCGAAGTTCGCTCACTTTGAAGATTATGGAAATTTATATTGTTGATGTACCCTAACGTGGCGCGGCCCCTAACGTGGCGCACTTTGATTTTTCGCCTGTAGCGCCTAGCTAGAGCAAAAGTTTTAACTGAAATTTCACAGAAAGTGAAATTTCATCAAGTTATAAACACTCCCGTTCATAAATCGCGAATTTATTTACCCGCTACAAAGTTAAAAGAAAAACTTATTTTGGCGTGATTTTCCGATTTTATTTTCAAGTGCAAAGTGAACCCTTTGAAAATGCCCCGAAAAATAAGAAAATAATTTTGTGACAAACATCTGGCTGGGTATGTAAGTAGAGATAATAATGATTTATCAGAATTTATCAAGTTTTCAGAAATTCTTAAATGTTAATTTGGATTTTTCCGAGATTTATTTAAGTGCGCCACGTTAGGGAACACTCCGCCAAATTGTGCCCAATTTCCGGACGCCACCGTTTTTTAATTTCGGCTTAAATTTTTAGAAACCGAAATTGTTCACAGAGGTTAAACAGCAAGCATTAATAAGGTAAAAGTACCAGTATTTCACTGCATGAATTTGAGGTTTGTCAACAAAGAGGTTTGGCAACACTACACGAGGAAATTTGGGCATGCTTCGAAGTGCGCCACGTTAGGGTACACCACCATACTTCGATGACCAAAAATAGAGACTAAACTGATCCGATCAACCCTCAAATCATGATTAAAATATTTTAAAGATAACCCTCATATTTCTCTACGCCTACACGCCCATCTAATGTGCTTTTATGCCTAAAGCTGAAATTTGCATACAGTCCGCTACCAGCGCCTACACAGCTCGGTGCAGTTCATCCATCCAATGCTCACTGAACCGTACCGGCAAACAAGTGATTTTGTTACCGGCCGCGCGCTGCATTGCAGTGCAACTTTCCTTGCTGAACCACCATACTTTACATGCTTTAGTAGTGTTTTTAGGCCAAAACTACCCAAAATGGCGAAGAAAGACCACAAAGCTCATTCCTTAATCATGCTGTGTGTTCATCATCTACTGTGATTCATCAAACTGAGAGAAAAGTGCCACCGATTTTGTGAAACGATGATGTTTGTGGAGTCCAATGATGTTGACGGTACCGTAGCGCTTTGACCTGTGCTGTACCGTGTATTGACACTTCTTCACCGTACACAATGCGTGTCACACCCACGCTCACAACTCTCGTACACGTACATTGGACTGTGCCAATCCCACGGCCCAACCCTGAATAGCTCGCTGAAAATCTGTTAAGCCATTGTACTCTGTAGTACTTTTTCTCGTAATAATCCCTGGACTTTAGACGCGGCAACATGGAGAGCAGTAGTGTGGTAAGTGTACCTAGATTAGATTTATACAGTAATTTCAACAAGTTGTTTTTGAAACTTGTGAAAGTTGGACCATAACCTAAACTTCAGTTTGTGTAACGTTATTGCATGTTCGAGAAATCAAATATCGCAAGAAATCGAATAGTCAATGTGTTTCTTGTTACTTTATGAGCTTTCAGGTTGTTTTTTAGGATCGATAAATAGATTATATCCTGTTTGATTATTTTTTGTTTTGCAAACTTGTTTTAAATATAATAATTTGGCAATCCTGCTTATTATTAAATGTATCTTGTTTTTATCTTTATGATAACTTATCACAAATAAGGTTTTTAAAAATAATTCTGGGTAGGACAAAATTCCAATTCGGAAATAATGCAGTATCCAGATGCCACTTCTTTGGTTGTGTACAAAGTCTATGGAGAGTCGAGTGCATTTTCTATTTTCTAACAAAATTGAAAATTTTCTCAGTCCCAGATTCATGTCTTTTCAACATTTTTGCAACGGACTGACATTTATTCAGATAACGTATGATGCATGAATGCAACATTCTTTCTTCAAGGCAGTTAAAAATCTCAAAATATGAGGAATTTTTTTGAGAGTTTTTACAAACCAAATAATTTGCCATATGATCAAACAGGAATTTATTCTAAAAATTAAAATTTAATTTTATTAAAATTCAGGTTTTTAAACACATCTAACAATTAAATAGGCTTAATCAATTAACATGACATTTGTTTTTCCATTGTTTCAACCAAATTAATGATCCTGTCCATTATTTCAATGGTTAGTTTAGCTTACTTTTACTTAGCCCATGAAACCTTTTTTGTTGCATTGCACCTGTTAATTAATTGACCACCTGCTGAATTATCGAGGACACATTGATACTCAGTCGTTGCCAACATCAATACAAATGTCACACATGGACATGTACAGCGTTCATTATGTTCTATCAGAAGTAGATGTCTGAGTTTTCATTAGTTTTATAATATACAATGTAGGGAATATTAAATGTATGCTTGACCAGTTTTAAACACTATGTTTAACACCAGTTGGAGTCTCGATGCTGATAATTACCCTGAGCCGAATAAATCCCTTTTCGATATAAAATCCAAACTTTTTAGTCCAAAAGTCAAAACAAGTCCAAAATTATAAGTTGCCAAAGATTTTATTAACAATTTTCCTTTATGTTTTTTGGGATGCCCCTCTAGCAATATCATAGGTATGTCCCTCCGCAAGTAGTCGTTAACAACTCTTTATATGGAGATATACATGTACTGCACGATGTGGCACAGAACGCAGCTGTGCCGGTGTAATGTGAATTTAGGACTATGAAATACTGACTCAATGGTAGTATTGCGCATGCCTGCAGCCTATGTGGGGATTGTCAATGTTCAACCAATAAAGCGGTAAAATGCACCAGATTCCGTAGGAGTCCAAATTTCATGCGACACTGGAAAAGTGTTTAAGACCAGCCAGCCGGTCTCTGGGCTCTCGACCAATAGGAATGGGTAAACTGTCTTAGGTATTTATGAATGATAAATCAATTGCTTTTGGCTTTGATAATTGTTACCAGAAGTCATAATTAAGCATTTCTAAACAACATCAGAATGCAGAATGTTCATATTTTGAGAAATACACATGCATCCAAGTTAATACAAATTACATTTATATTAATGTTTGACATCACGCAGCTTTGGTGCATTCAAAAACAAATATGAAACATGATAGTTCGGGTGTTAAGTTGTTTAAGGTTTGATAAATTGAAATTTTTGTAATATCAAATGATGTTTTTAGGTTTATTATATGGTAGACCAACAAACAGAATATTCTTGCTTTTGCAGAAGTTATTCCCATCCTAAGTTTCAACAACTCTTTATAGGCCTATAGGCCTTTAACCTTTTCATGTAACAGTGAACAATTAGGAAAACAAGCTTTTCAAATTACAGCAAACATGGACATCACTTTCCTTAAAACCAGTCCGTTGGTCTAATGTCTGAACTGCATGTATTCATATTGCATTGAAGGTTAACAAACTGACCCATTCTGCCTTGTGAAATCGAAGAGTTATATAATTGAACTATGAAACTCATCCAACTGGAACAGTTCCGGACAGTCGTAACAAAAGACACAAAAGAAGTCTCATGGTCATTCACAATTGTCAAAATCGAAGTTGTAACTTCGATCCTAGGGTTATATTCACATGAACTGCATTGCAGGTATTTCAAAGGTTTTTCTTTGTCATTTAAATTTTGTTACCATGAATACAAAAGGTGAAATCAATAAATTTGTCAAAGAACCCTTTACCCTCCTATTGCATTCATTCTGTGCCAAGTTGTCCTTTCAGTCAAAATCAGTCAAGTGACTGTTTTAACAGTTAAGAGCTCCCAGCCTACATAAAGCAAGATTGACTGGCTGTGACTGTTTATGTAACTTGATACAGCTATGCTTTGACTGTAGGTGATTGATAAGCCTGTACCTACTGCATATTGTCTGTTGACTGAAGTTGACTAGTCACAGTGCTTGCTTGAAATATGATCTGACTGTTGGTGACTAGCCTGTGTAAAAGGCATGGCAGGGAAGAGGATTGATGTTTTTGACTGTCTGTGACTGTTCAGATAGCAGGAGGGTTAAAAACATATCTTTTCTGACATTCACAATTGTCCTTCTCTATCAGCGTGGTTGTTTTTGTAACCCCCCCCCTTACCACACGCACCAAGCCCCACCCCATCAACTTCCCACCCATGCCCTACTTTTTATACAAAAAAAATATGTGACATTTCTAAACTTGTACAATTTTACTTTTGCTTATTCTATTTCCAGATGATCATTATCGGTGCCTGCTTGGCCATTGGCGGCAATCTCCTGATCAGTGTGTCGATGAACATACAGGTAAGAATCATTCAAACCCAATTTTTCTAGAACCACGACAATGGATTTACAATACAGATAATAACTGTTAATATTTGATGCATTGGATAATGTTAATTACAATGAAAAAAATGAAATGGTATTCAGCTACTACGGGCGCTGCGATACATCAGTGTCTGACGACCGAGAAAAGATATCTGTTTCAACAACCATTATCGTCATTATATTTAATAATTTATGACAAATATGACCAAATTACTTTTAAACGTAAATAATAGGACCACTTAATGGTTGATGACAATGTTGCATTTTTGTAGCGGATGTAACAATTCTATGATGAATTGGCAGTTTTGTTACAAAATATTCTACTTGTAATGCACAGCTACATGTATTGTAGTACCAGTCAAAAGTCACTAGCGTTAAAGCAATGAGATTAAACAGATGGTGAAGTATAGAATACTAGGCGTGTGGTACGAATATGTACATGTCTACCAGTACTAAATATCATTGCATATTTTATGTGTATGTATGAACTGTACGTATATTGCAGCCTGTTGCTTGTAATAGGCTATAGGCTTATTTACAAGTCGGCCATATTAAATTGAAAGCGAGGTAAAATCTTCATTTTTGGAACTTGCGAATTGAAGTGGAAGCTATGAAATAAAGTTAATTACAAATTTATACCAGTCTGCTCTGATGAATAATTTAAAATTTGTGATTAAACATATCTTAATGTTTTAAGCCACATTTAAAGTATAATTAAAGGGGAGGCTTGGATTTTCGTATAAATAGTCTGGTACCATCCCATTCAACAGTTTACAATTTATAAAATACAGTCAGGGAACACGATCAAAAATGACTTCCTTGTGAATAAGATCTATAATAATGGTTTTCTGTACACTGGCCTATTGTGATCATGACCACAATGCATAATGTCAGACTGGTATTTAAAACAGTTTGTTATTTTGTTTGTTGCCAATTGAACAAAATGAGTTCTTTGTTGGAGATTTTTAGGACTTTTGGTATTCAAAACAAACAATTATGAATGGATTATCTTGTCAAAATATCTTTCTGTTTTAGTCAACCCATTTCATTGAATATATTTTGTTTTTGGATGAGAAACAGAAATTTACGATGCAGATAAAAAGTTATTTATTCTGTGCTAAGTTGTCCTTTCAGTCAAAATCAATCAAGTGACTGTTTTCAACAGTTAAGAGCTCCTAGCCTACATAAAGCAGGATTGACAGGCTGTGACTGTTTGTGTAACTTAATACAGCTATGCTTTGACTGTAGGTGATTGATAAGACAGCTGTGCCCATTTCCTGCTTTTGTCTGTTGACTAAATTTGACTAGTCAGAGTGCTTCCAAAAAAATATGATCTGACTGTTTGTGACAAGTGTGGGTAAATTTTGACTGTCTGTGACTGTTTAAACAATATATAGCCTACTTTTGCACGGGCAATAGAAAGGTGATGTGGAATAAATGTAGAAAATAGCACAATTGAATTTTAAAAAAATATGTAGCACAAACACATTACATGGGAATACATGTATTCCATTCACCCATGTGAAATTGTACTTATTGACTTTTAAATTTACGAGTGTAAATAAAAGTCTGCATAAAATTCAACTGCTTACAAGTGCATTTCTTTGAGTTCCAAAAGCCTGATTTGGACTTGACCAGAAGTAAATAAAATGCTGGCACCACCTTCTACAAGCAAATCTGTCTCCGTACATACGTAGGCGTCTACATTTTATGTCACCTCAAACAGTATATACCAGTAGAACCACGATCATCCTACAGACTTGAATGCGTCTACTAGAAAGATAAAAGTCTACATGGTGCTACTTGACTAGTCATGCAGTGGAGCATTGTCTTACTCGATTTACGACTTAACTGGTGTAAGACCTTGTCAGAATTTGTCACAGAATTTTCCTTTAACTTTGAGACTTAAACTAGCCCCACAATTTACCTTCAAGACATTTTTCTTCGAAATTAGTGACACAAAAAATCATAAGATGGAATTTACATTGGGGTGTGGGTAAAAATACGATGGTGACACACAAAGCACAAACAAAACAACACAAAAATCTGAGAACTGTTGTAAGTTGAAACATTGCAACTCTGATATTTCCTATCCAATGACTTCAAAGTACTGGAGGTAACAGTATATCTCAGGATCCAAGTGATTGGTTGCTTTATCCATTTCAAACCAGCGGCAGCCGGTCAACTCCGGTAAGCTCGGTGGTCGAGTGGTAAGACATTTGCACTTGTAAGCAGGAGGTCATTGGTTCAAGTCCTACCTTAGTAAGCATTTGAGGTTTACCTTCAATCAGCACTGAGCCTAATATAGAATAATAAAATCGGGTGCTTATATAGTGCTTTAACTAAGATCAAAGCATTTTTACATCATTATTACCCCTGATCATTGGGCCAATTAAACGTACGAAATACTATCTCAGCTCCCTGGGGAGTATACAGCTCGGTGCTGCCATTTCGGCACAAAGCAGCTAAATCAACCACAATAACCATCTCTGCCCTCACAGGTAACCATTTACTCCTGGGTGGGGAGAAGCAATGAGTGACAAAGCGCCTTGCTCAAGGGCACATGCACCATAACCCCAGGCTGGACTCAAACCCACTACCTGCAGAATTACCCGCAGACCATGAATTCAATGCCCAAGACCACGAGGCCATGGCACTCCAAAAGCAACTAATCACTTTGGAAAAGAATTATCTTATATGCTACAAGTCATAATACTACGCAAAGACTCCCTACACATTTTTCTCCTCTCTAGAAATATGCTCTGATGAGACTAGAAAACCAAGGCTTTCACGCCGAGACAAGTCACGATTACCTGAAGAGCAGACTATGGTGGCTGGGAATCGCCATGATGGTCACCGGTGAGATCGGTAACTTCATGGCGTACGGCTTCGGGCCAGCCACGGTGGTTGCACCGCTAGGCACCACGACAGTAGTAGGTGAGCCTAGAACAATGTATCTTTACCATTTCATGAAAAGAGTAGACCCGTCAAATCCGACAAAAAAAATTTATAATACAGATTTTGACATGACTGTATCTTAGCGGAAAAACATCAATATGTATAACATATGAATTTATAGTTTTGTAAATATTAAAGGCTGAATCAGATACAGTTGTACCCACCCAACTGTGCCCTATTTAAAACTCTAAGTTTTTAGATTTCTGTACTTTGATTTCTGGTTTTTGTAGAGTCTTCGAAAGAGAAAGAATACCGCAAATTATTCTCTTGTCTCCTCTGACAATATTTGTAAAGACTGATACATTAATTGTTTAATTTCCCTTTTCTTGCAGCGAATGCTTATATAGCAATTGTCTTTTTAGGAGAAAAGCTCAGAGCAAGGGATGTACTAGGTAAGTTTTTTTTTTAAACCAAAGTAAATCCTTCTTTTTCCATCCAAATTTAACTGAAATTAAAGTCTAGAATATGCGATGGTATATAGTAATTAGTAGCGATGTGATGTTTACACATTTAAATGTTGAAACGAATACAATTCGAAATCCGTTTACATATTTTCCAAATGTTTAAACGAAACCTGATTATAAGAAAAGGGACCTACGTTCACGCGATCTTCCTTTGAGTTAAACCTTCAAAGCACAAATAATTAACGATGTTTTCAAACCTATTAATTTACAAAACCTTAGAAGCCCTGCAGTAATTGATTACTTTAGAGGTATACCTAGGCCTAGGTAAGTTTTTCAAAAACTGAAAGCTTTTTCAATGACTGGCATTGTTGATTTATCATGTCAATCGCGCCGTGCGTCTGCAGACATAATGCGCAGGTGTCAGCCTTTGTGAATTGCTAAACATTTAAATGTTTCTTAAAATATTTTGCTAAACGTTTAGGCCTACAAAATTAAACGCAAAGTTATATCCTTAGTATATAGGAAAGTGGTATGCCAATTTTAAACTGACAAGTACATTTTTGAAAAACTTAACCTATACGTCAATTTACACATTTCCTAAATTTTGATATCTAGTTCTGTACTATACTCATGCAGTGTCGGATGACGATACTATGACATTATTAGGACTAGAGAAACTAAATATCACACATTTTGCAATGAGAAAGGCTGTGTGATTTAATCTTACATTCATGGTCTTCTGACATGTTTTGTATTCTCAGTCAGTTATATTTTTGCTCACGATAGTCTGTTTTATTTGTTTTTTTTGCAGGAACATATCTCATCATTGTCGGTGCTTTTCTTATAGTTGTATTTTCAACACAGGTTAGCAATGCCATATACAATATGAAATTTCATACATTGTTGTTTTAAATAAAACTGTTCATAAAAAGAATCCATGCGCGAACAATCACATAAAATATTCCAGGATTTCAATGATGTTACTACAGCAACAGTATTTATAGTGTAAATCCACATATACATACTTTTATAAGCTTTGAAAGTACATGCAGGTTTGACCCACAAAAAACTTAACAGTCGAAAACCAATTAATAAAGGAATATTGCATGTTTTGGAATATTTTCAAATTACCTCTTAAAGTCAGATAACCAATCTACCTTCCAAACTTTATTTCATTCAAATCGATGCATTAGAACAAACGCTATTCTTCATCAAACTCAAGGGTTGAAAATCGTCTTGGGCCACTTTCCTTGAAAGTGAGAAAGCGCAGTTAGAGAAACACACAAAGAGTTGATTTCCTTTGTTCAAGAGTAACGTGTGACTTAATCTACTGGCTTCAATCTGTAAACTTGATAAATAATAAACGTGGCCCAAGTGGTTTTTCAAGTCCCGTATTGTGATTGCTGTGTCTTTTGAACAAAACATCCTAATGAAACCAATTAAAAAGCATTTGGAAGACCAATTATTCTACTCAGCAATTCATTAGACACAATTTTGAAAACTACCCCACTTTTCTGAAAACATGCCCCAATCGACTGTTAGGTTTTTTGTGGGGCAACTTGTATTAACAAAGGACATGTAAGTGTACGGTTTTGAGTTCAAACAGCATGTTTCATATTGTCTAAAAGCGGTTGTTTCCAGACCATCTCTCTTGAATTGCAACAAGAAAAATTATCCCTTTTGTTTTTGCGACTTCTAAAGGGACTGTCCTTTTCTCTTACAGGATAACACCAGATTATCGGCTGAACAGATCGACAGTCATATATTGAAGCCGGCATTTCTAGTTTACTTGGTGAGGAAAAGTAGAAAATATGTTCACAATAACCATCAACCACAATAACCATCTCTCCCTCTCAGGTACCCATTTACTCCTGGGTGGAGAGAGGCAATGAGTGCCTTACCCAAGGCACAGGCACCATAACCCCAGGCTGGACTTGAACCCACAACCTGCAGAATTACCCGCAGACCAAGAATTCAATGCTCCAGTCCACGAGGCCACAGCACTCCACACAAACTTTTATAACTTAGCTCAGTAAAACTTAAACTCGAAACCTGTCTTAAATCCGCACATTAAACATGCAAAACATTGTCACGCTGGCCATTATAATTTCTCTTTTCAGGGAGCGGAAGTTGTTGTTTTCATCGCTGTAAATATAATTATTCATCACTATGGAGCACTGCATGTCATTCTATTTATTCTACCAGCCGCTATTCTAGGTAAGAATTTGAAAGTAAAATACTTTAACTTATGAAATAGCTTACTTGACTGCAAGTGAATAATAGTCTCAAGCATCCTGTGAAATCATGGCACCTGGTGTGCTGTCATTTTCAAGAAAAGTGGAATTTTTGTGTCAATTTCCAACAATGGTCGGCCGACCATCGTTGGAAAAAACTTGACTTTTTTCAAATGCTGCACCCATACCAAATTTAGTTAGTTCACATTTTTTTTGGAATTGGTTAAACATAGTGAACGGGTGCAAGCCAGCTAGTCTGGTTCCCTGACCCGACAATTCACCGACGTCCATAAATTGCTCCGTTTTGTATGAAGTAGTGTCAGGATCCAGACTACAAGAACAGCATTTTTTTCTTGTTTTTCCCAGCATCTATGAACACAAAACTTAAAACAGGTCAGTGTAGCAATGTTTGCTATAAAATACTAACCCTAAATCCATCCATTTCTGAAAATTACAGCAAAAGCAAATGTTGATTATTACATTTAAATGACAAATTCTGTCAACTGTGTTAAGAAAAAGAAAATAGTTTTGAAATATCATTATGTTCAAAACCTCACATTGATTTCCAGATTTCAAATGAATACTTCATTTTTGTTTTATTAGTCTTTCAATTTCTTAGTATTTCACACTTTTTAGACATCGTTGATCCTGATTTGTGGCGCTGCGAGATTAATAAATGTAATATTTCCTAGAAATATTAATATTCATTTTTGTTTAATTAATTTTTTTCTTAGCTTCTCTGACAGTTATTAGTTCGAAGGCTGTATCGGGGATGATCACTCTGACTGTAGGGGGCGACAGTCAACTCACTTACGCCATCTTCTACATTATGATCATTGTCATCTTCGTTACAGGAGTAATACAAATAAGGTACGTCACTCTAAAAATTATTCCAAAATCTCTTTTTAAGTTGGGTCTAATAATTGGTCAGTTTCTCTCCCTTCCCAGTTTTTGTGCATTTTTCATTCATCCGATAATTTCTGAGATAAAAATTAACATGAGATTCATCATGCGTAAGTCCGCGAGTTGCACAACAAATTATTGCGTAACTTGTGCATTCATTTTAGGTGGCGTATTAGTTGTGGCGTAGCGACTGAAAATTAACTATTTTACAAGCAAATTGTGATCGTCGTATTGTCTGTTATTGCACAACTTATCAAGGTTGATTTGTTACAAGACACTCACAGCTTTGTGTTTGAAGTAAATAAATTGCTATTTTACTTGGGACAGAATTTTTTAGAGTTGCCGCACGATTCCGAAGAAAGTTTGACAAAACTAGATTCAATATGGCAGGCAGAGGTGATTCAACGGCTGTTTCGTGAACGAACAAAATCATACACAAACAGCTGTAAATGCTGCTATCCTAGTCCAAGATGTTTAGGTTATTTAAAAACATTGCGCAGCTAAGCCAAGTTTAGTGAAATGGATTGTAAGTTTATTGTGCAGCTGCGCAACAAATTTGTTGTGTAAGTCCTTTGCACGGTATCGTGAAATTGGCTGCTGATGTCGTGAAGATTAATACAGATTGAATAAGCAGAACGACACCTGGTGTGCCGTATGTTTTCATGGCAAACCAATTTTCCAGTAGGCCGTAACTTAATTCCAATTTCCAAATGAATGCTTCACCGACTTCAGTGCAACAGCTTGGTCCGTGAATGGCCCAGGCAACTAGCAGGCGAGCATGCTATGATATTTGATGTCGTAATGTTTAATGAGATTCTGCAAATTAAGGTTGATAAGTCCAGCTGAGGTATGGAGTCTGGATGCCGAGTATGGGGAATTGTATTTCATGAAGGATTGGAGGGGAAAATCATGTTGACAGCATTTCAGACTATGCAAGGACAAAGTTTTTCAATACAGTAGGATACTCGTAAAAAAAACCCATGAAACTGCAATGGTTTGGCATCTACTTTTGATTATAGTAGCATAACGATGATTCTGCCAAGTTTTTTTTATTGGAATAAGCATGAAATTGAGCTGTTGCTTGTAGAGTGACCAAAGCGTGATGCTTCAAACTGTATGTGGTCTGAATTAGTCTGGTTCCTGAAACTGACAGCTTCAATAAATAATGTTTAAACTCGCCTGCTTTATCCGGTTCGTAAGTGAGACCCCATTTCAACTTAAACCATGCCCGCTACACATTGATAGCATTGAAAATCATTGGAAACACCGGAACCAGAAGTGGTTCAGAGTGGCGTGTTTAGCCCATGGGCGTTAGTAATTAGTGGTGCGTGGGCGTGTATGATGCAGTCACTTACGAACCAGATATCCCAATATCCGGGGATATCCGCGGATATACATTGTATATATTTATGATTCACGTGAAAGTTTTTATTTGATTTCCTTGATTTCTAAATTTACATTTTTGAAATATAATTCCTGTTAGAACAAACGTGCGTTGACAGAATCAGAAAAACCTCTCCGTTCCACATTTTAAAACAACAAATTTATATTTTGCGTGTTTAAATGCTAGGCTTAACCACGGTTCAATACATGTAATGAGCAGCAGTTATTAATTAAATATCAACATGCAAATGTCTGGATTACCATCACAGAATGAACAGCTTAATTCCACTGGCTTTCCGGTGTGAAGGTCACAGTGCTTAGCACACTGTACCATTGTGAAGTGGTTCAGTGAATGGTACTGTAGTTTGTATGTTTGTACATGTTATTTGCTTAACAAGGATGCAAAATCATTGGGCATATAGGATTATCCCAAAAGTTACCTACCAAATTATTATAAAAAAAAACTTACTTAGATTAAAGATCGTAATGGTACTAAACACCCTGTGAAATTATTCCATCTGGTTTGCTATTGTTTAGAAGTGAGATGATTTTGCAACAATCAAACTGATTATGTGAAATAAAGAGTGCTATGGACAAAATCTTATTTCATGATCAAAAGGTTGTGCATGCTTTTTTTTGTTTTTTTACTGTTTTCGCGAAAAGTGTGATATTCACTGAGCTGAAACTTCAACAGGTTAGGTTTTGAACTTTCTCCTTTGGATTCTGAGTGGTGTTATTATTGGAACTGAACACAATGCATGGAAAGCAAATGGTCCTATATGCCTATAGCTATCAGCAAGTATAGTCTTCTGAATTCCACATAACATGTTGTAAAACATAAGTTTGAAACAGTGAGTAACCATTCCAAAATCAGATTAACAGAATGTCATTTAGAATCACTTACACCCATAGTCATCCCAGAAAAAGAACAAACAAAAAACATGCCATGAGGAGATTATATTACTATCAGTACTTAAGGCCAAAAAAAAAAGTCTCCGGTTTCTGGTATGCGCGCGCATCGCCCTAGCCATGCGCGTCAGCAAAATGAAAAAGTTTTTTTTTTCAATGAAAGATGATGTCTCAAAACCGCCAAATTCACTGGTTTGACTGGAATCCTGCTGCTGCACAATTTTAACGTGTCTTTAGATTGGGTTATGGTCGAGAATAAGCTTTATGTGGCCTCTCTGGACTCCCATATATTTGCACTAAGTTTAGTCGGGCACCATTTGCAGTCATCAGCCGACATTTGAAGCAAAAAAATCAGGGTAAAAAAAAAAAAAGCCGCGTCGCCGCACCACTTTTTGGGCAAGCTCCATACCAGAAACCGGAGACTTTTTTTTTTTGGCCTAATAGTAAATCAACATTTCAATATTTAAACAAATTAATATTTCAAAATAGTTTTTTTAATTACCAAACACAAGAAGTAATGTATTGCTCAATCAAAACGCAAGTAAGTTTTATGAATATAGAAACTTGTATTAAATTTACGGTAAATCAATTTTTAACTATTGTGGATTTTTCCAGATATGTCACTCGAGCCATGCAGTCCTTCCAAGCGACCGTAGTAGTCCCGACATTCTTTGTGTTTTTCACTGTTAGTGCAATATTGGCAGGTAAGCAACAATAAGTCAAGACAAATACCTGCATCACAAATAAATATGTAAATAATTTGTAATGATTTTATAGCACTTTGGATGGTATCAACAATCTCAGAGCGTTTTACAATTATACACCTGTTCATCAGGCCACGAGAATCAAGGCAGCTGATATCAGCGCACATTCGGTCCTCTACCCTCACAGGTACCCATTTATACTCCTGGGTGGAGAGAGGCAATTGTAGTTAAGTGTCTTGCCCAAGGGCACAAACACCATGTTCCTGGCAGGGTTCCAACCCACGCACCATCGTACATGAGTCAAACACCATAACCGCTGGACCAACAACATCACTCTTGAAGGGATATATACATGTATTGTGAAATAAAGTACAATAAATCACACTTCAATCAACTTTTCTGATAAACAAAGAAATAGGCTAAAGTAGAATGCGAATTTGCAACTGCTATTATCAGTGAGCTAATTTTCTTTGTACTTGTACCGTTCTCTTTGCTCAGGTATCTTTTTCTACGGGGAATTCAACGGGCTCACGTTTGTGCAAGTTGTGATGTTTCTATTCGGGTAAGTGCTAATACTGTGTGTTCAATATTTCCCGTTTTTAATTTGATTTCTTTTTTTGCTGGTTAAGTTTCAGGTTATAATTTTGTTTTTGTCTGTGCATCTGCATTTCAAGTGACTGCACATTTACTTCTGGTAAAACGATTTGAAAGTAAAATTGCTTCTCTTTATTTTCAGGTGTTTTTGTTCATTTGTGGGAGTGCTGTTCATAACTCAGGGACGGAACGGTGAACAGTTGGCGCCGCTAGACAGTCAGTATCACGCAGGACCACCGAAAGCACTGAGTGAGTATGAAGTGTCAATGAAAGTGATTTACATTACAGACTGTGGGGTGCTGTTGTCCAGTGGTAACGGTGTTCGGCTTGTGTGTCGTGGTACATGGGTCGAAGCCTGACCGTAAGAACATGGTGCTTGTGCTCTTGAGCAAGGCACTTTATATATTGCTTCGCCCTTCGGATGGGACATAAAGCCGCAGGTCCCGTGTGTTGTGTAATGCACGTTAAAGTCCCAATACCACAGCTTTCTCTGGAGCATATTGCTCAAAAGTTTTTCAAACAACTCAGCATTGGGAGTTCTTCCAGAACGGGTTTTAAAAAAAAAATTCCAGCGATTGCAGAGCACAAAGCGATGCCGCTTGGCATTTGGCGATGTTTTTATTTTGAATCACAAACACAAATTGCTGCCAAGTTTTATGTCATTATACAGCAAACGATAAACATAAAGTAAAAGCCCGAACGGGAGATTTATGTTGATGATAATTTGTTGTATTTTCGATACGATTCCTCAGTATCGAAAAATTTCAATATTTCGATATGATGAAAAAAATATTGATATCGAAATAATATCGAGTAGTATTGATATATTGACATTGCTTATGTTTTACTACAATGATTAGGAACAAGATTTTATGAGTGCCAAATGCCATTTTGAGTCTTTGTCGTGCTCTTGCTTAATTCCCAATCATGAGTTGAAATCTTTGAAAAGACTGTTCTCTGAAATTGTCGTTCCTAAACCTGTTTTCTTTGTCCACAGTGCCAATCTGTCCGTTCCCATGCACGAATCATCTTGTGCAGCCATCAGATGATGACAATGACGATGATCCGAAAGAGGTGGAGTTGAAATCATTGGTGGATGGTGACGAAACGGATGTTTCTGAATCAGTAAGTGTTGTGGCTTACACAGTGAATTGAACATTTTAGAACTATTGTTTTGATTAATTAATTTCTGTTAATGAAACCAAGGATTCCTCAAAAGCGCCCTAGGCACTGTAGCTCGCAAGCCTGAAGAAACCTGTAGAGAGAAGACAATGAGAAGAAATTACAGTTTTAGAGGTGGGAGGAAAAGCCCAGAAGAATGTTTTGGGGAAACCCACGGAATCAGGCAGGGACTGAAAACCCAATCCACATATTGGCCAGGCGGGATTCGAACCCGGGTCACAGCGGTGGAAGCAAGGAAAGTAATCTACGCCAGCCTGACTCCCCAGGGCTACAAGAGAAATAAAAAGATTAGGTACATGTACTTGGAAAAACTGGAGGTAGGAATTAATGTTCCTCTTGAAACAGAACAGAGTCAAATTTTGGTTCAAGAAATTCTTGTTCACTTCTCTCTTCTCAAAGGTCTTTTCCAACGGAACGGGGAAGTCGCTCTTCAATCCGGCCCTACAGATGACGAAGACCGACACGAAGGAGAAGTCGTCACTGAAACCTTCTGATTTCACGCAAGGGGATTCTGGGATGGCAAGGACATCCACCGGAGGTGAAACGACGTGATCTGATGCGAAATCGCCCAACTCTGATGGCTTTTTGTGATGGCCTGGTGAGATTCCGAGCTATAAGACGTTGAACATGCCAGGTCGATTTGAAGCCAATCGTGAACTCGGACTTGGACACCAGAGGGCGCTGTCTAACAACGTGAGCTTGCAAAGGACACTTTGGCCAAGTTCGCGCAAGGACTATAGTTGACCAATGGTTAACTAACGTTTGCCCGAACTCTGTCTAGTCGACGGTGGTTGACTACGCCAGTCGACTATTTGGAACCAGCCTACTGGGGTTGGTTGCTTCGCTGGTAACCAATAGCCGCGCGCATTCATAACGCAAGCAGAGAGCCAGGATCCAGAAGTTTTGCGATGACAATTTGACCAGTGTTTGACTAGAGACGTTCGCACGTTGCTATAAGTGCGCAGGCGTAAGGTACGTTACAAATCAACCACTAGTCATCTAATGGTACGTCCTTGCCCGAACTTGGCCTTTGCTGACTCACACACAATGTTTACGGTTTACATAATTGAAGTATACCAGTTTGTGTGAGCCAAGATGGCGCCCAGTTGTCCTTCGATATTGGTGCTCATGATCATATGAGGAAGGCGAAGAGTGCAAACTGCGGTTAATAACATTGGACGAAAGTGACACAGATACATCTGAAACGTCTTTTGATGCCCACACAAGCTAAGTTACAGTAGAGTTTTGTTTGATTGTAGTTTTTTCATTTTCTACCATTCTATGCTTGTGTGCTTAGAAACGAAAACCTCAAGCAAATGCTTGGCAATAAAACAGCAAGTTATGAAGAAATGTTACGAAACCAAAAATTGCTGATTTTCACCCAAATGGCTCCGTGCACAAGTACGCCCTCAACGGTAAGAAAGGGAGAGTTGGGGAGGACCACTGGAAGAGACATTTGAACGCATTTGCTGATGACGCTGACGTTCACGCGAAGACACTATGTCTTTGTGCACATTCCGCATAAAAGTAGTCGTACGTACTTCGCGCAATACACGCTTGAATCAGCACGCGGTGTGTCCCGTCTACTCTACTGTCAAAACTGATGAAAAGCGCCCTCCCGTGTTTGCGCATGGAGCAACTAGCTACATTGGAAGGAGACACTGGTTTCATAATTCTTTTTTGTTGTTGTAAATATAGATGATATTTTATAACCCAACGTGTTACTTTAAAACAGAGGTGCTTGGTGATGTATTCATAATATAAATTATATGTATATATTTGCTAATTAAGATTGTGTTTTATACAATCAAATATTTTATAACTAAACATGGTGGGTCTTGTGTTAAACATGATAAACTTCAGAAGAAAAATCCACAAAATCATGTTTATTTGTGATAAGTAATAAGTTATAAAAATAATGCTAATTTTTAGAAATAAAAAAAGAAAGTAAAAGTAACTAGGCCTAAGCAACTCCACTTTTTATCTTCTAATCAACGAATGTTCAAAACTTGTTTTCACTTTTTACTCCAAAACCAAATGTTAAACCAACTCTTCTTGATACATCTCTGTTGTATTTTTATTGTTTCTTTCATACTATATTTTTTAAAACTATCTGCTTCGTTAGTTTTGAAGAGTACAAAGTTTTAGCTGTGAGGCGTTCTGGCAGAATGAACTGGTCTCGGGCCGTAGTGGAGAAAAATGAGTTTTGTTCGATTTTCAGATTTATTGATATTTGTTTTTGATATGTCTACTACACATATTTAATATAAAAATCATGGACTAAAAGTGTTTAAAGAAAAAACAATTGGCATCTTTTGCTTTCACAAATACAAAACTCGAAATTTTAAAGGCCCTTTTTCCATTTTTCCCCCTTTTTTGACATGTCGATAAATAAAAACTTTAAACAGTCATAACTTGTCAACATAATGCCCGATTGAAGTGCAACAAACAGTATTGCAAGGAGAGTTTTATTCTCTTTCCTAATACCCGCAAACCCTCGTTTTGCCAGAACGCCTCATATTTTTTTTTTATCTATTTCTAGATAACATTAGTTTGTGCAAAAACATTGCTACGCATAGTTTGGTGCTCGTTAGTAGGTCTCTATAGTTTGTGACTGCGTTCTCTTTTAACACATCTATGCTAGATTTGGTGCAATTTTAGGCGTTAATATTTTCCTGTAGTTTATTGTTAGTAACAAGGGTTTTTTGGTGCAATTTTAGACTTTAACAATCTCTTGTAGTTTATCTATATTGATTCATATTTTTCCGACATTGTATCTTTTTTTATTGAGTTGTTTTTATAATAGTGCTTATCACTTCTTTTGCTGTCTTTCACATTTGAACTTTTTAAAGGTTCTACTTGGAAAATGATATTCTTTAAAATTATGGGTAAAACAGGTTTCTATGATGATTTCTCTTTAATATTTGTTATTTTGTATTTTCGCAGGAATGCGAAGTGCAGTGATATAACTAAATTTCATATTAATGACGAAAATTAAGATGAAGAAACGTAACACAACACACACACGTATGTTGAGTTTCATCAAGTTCAAATGACCTTATTTCTGTTTTGCAAAAGTTCAACTCGTTTCTGCCAATTGGTATGTGGTGTTTTTCTGATGACACTGATTTATTGTTTTCAAGTAGAAAAACGTTTTGATAATAGTGCTGGTAGTTGGCTAGTGTTTAGTGCAATGCTGTGCTTCATTGCACAAGACCCAGACTTCTTTGTGTGCTACTCAATGGGTTTTGATCAGCAAGAATGCATGAACAAAGGGTAAAAGTATTCACTGAAGGACGAATCGTGTAAACCAACTAAATACCCTAAATGTATTTATTTTGTGAACACAACCGATGTATTTATCATAATTTTGTCTTTTTCCTGTGCTTCCGGTGGTTGTTTCTGGAGTTGTTTAGAGAGTTAATCATCCTGAAAAATAATTGGTTATTTATTATCAGTTTTGAAAGTACTAATCTGAGAGTATGATTACTTATGTTTCAGTTAAACAAAAAATGTCTAGTAGATTGTCTTTTGTAACTCTTTGATACACATGGGTAGATATAATGTGCTTTTATTGTTAGTGAATTAAAAAAACAAGAACTATATTCGCTGCTTCCGGTGGTGGGTCGCGTTGTTAAGGATCAATCATCCTGAAAAATAATTGGTTATTTCTTATCAGAATTTTCAAAGTACATGTACTCATTTGAGAGGATTATTATTTATGTTTCAATCAACTCCCTTGGCATTTTTGCTAGGATGCAACCTCAATCCTGCAAAATCCTCCAATTGCCTCCATATAAAAATTGCATACAGCCTTAATCCTCCAAAATCATCCGTTATTTCTTGCGTGGTCCTTGGAGGGGTGACCACTGCCTCGATCCTGCAAAAAACTCCAGCAATCACTGTCAATATGTTGAGGCAGTGATATCCTGGAGCAGTGTGGAGGATTTCAAGTAAAATAATTTGTGCATGGCTGAGCATAAACAACACAAGGTCCAGCCCAAGACCTTGACACAGTGCATCCTCCAAACTCAGCCACACAATTTTGCCATATAGCCTCAATCCTGCAAAATCCTCCATTTTGCAAAGAGGATTTTGGAGCATTTGGGAAGGTTAGGGTCAGACCAAAAATGTCTTCAAAATTGTAAAAATATACTTTTTACTTAATATTAATGATTTTAATATGCACAGTAATAACATGGTACCTTCTCACTACTTTTATGACACTACTTCCGAAGTGAATTCTGTTTGTGACGTTCTGTTGCCTTAACAAATGCGCTTTGTACTGACATTAGCATGAAGTACGAACGGGCCTTATCACATTCAAATTCCAAAAAGAAATGCTTTCAAAGAAGGTTACACTGCTGAAAACCAGAAATGTCATTTCAACACCATTCTACACAATAAACAATCAAATCATCCTGATTTTGGTATTTGTGCTTGCAGCAGCAACCGGGTACGACGACCCAATGTTTTAATTACATCTTTCAATAATTCGAACCTTTAAAGACTTGATAGTATTTACAGAACTATCATCTATTATCTAGGCGTAAGAGCCTTTCATTATAGACACATTTAAGTGATCAATTAATTATACAGAATTATACCTGAGACAACACTCTTTTTGCAATTGTTATGATTAATTCTAATTATTCGTACCCCATTTGATATTATGTTTAGTCTCATCGCTGTGATGACTACCAGGTACGACAGTGTTTTAATAACGGTCATTCAATAATTTGAACCTTAAAGACGTCTTGATGAAGACAATATTTACAGAACTAGGGTCTATCATTTAGGCGTAAGAGCCTTTCATTTATCATATTTGCGTAATCAATACTAGAATTAACCTTGAGACTTCCCTCCTCTTTACAATTGTCATGGTTATTTCTGAATAATCGTTCCACATTTGATATTATATTAAGGCAAGCTTTTCAGAATTATCTCTTTTGGTTTTGTACAATACCAGATATCTTCCGCTGAGGATAAATCACGCATACTATGGTGCATGTCTATTCAGACTTGTTTGCGTTCTGAACGCATTAGATCGCTAGAACAATTCTAGCATCTCATCTAGTAGATCTGATCTTTATGAATCTTACTGCCAACCTGTAAATCTCGTTTTATACCTCCGTCAGAAACTACTCCGACCATACCTTGATTGCCACTTGTGGATTTCATTTGAACCTTTAAGTTTCACAGAACTTTCCTTTAGGCTTCAGAGCCTTTAGCTAAACTTAATTGAATAATCGCAAGATACCACTCATCTATTACATTATGGCTGTTTCTGGAATTGTACCCCATCTAACATTGCTGTGTTGACTGCCAGATACGAAAAACCAAAACCATATTTGGAAAAATGGAAACGTACACCTGAACTATGCAAGACAACTCCTTCAGGCAAGGGTAGCAATGTTCGTCTCTTATAAATACTGTTTGAGACATTGAACAACTATGAAATTACAACCAGACTTAACAACTGTGTTAAAAATTGTGTGTTGTCGTTGCTGCTCGCAAGCGTGAAGTGATCTACCTTCAATCCAACCACGCACACATTCCTGTGCCACTCCCTATTCAAATTACGCGCCCTTAACCACTCTACCGTGTCTCATTTACATATCAATGATAAAGCAGATTTATTCTAATTCGTCCCGGTACTCAACCGAATAAATCAATATATGTCAGTAGAAAAGCAGGGTTTGGAAGCATATAATTGTGGTTTAGTTGAAACAGTTAGGAAGTTTAATATGAAATTTTATTTGTATAGAATACTTTTATACAACGAACTAACTGCGATATATTTATTGTAAAGGTGAGAAAAGGTGGTGATTGAGTTGTAATGTGCACTGAATATAAATAAATGTACTTTTGGAGAAAGAACCGAGAACTAGTATTGAACCTTTGAATCAGGTCTAGCTCCCTGACTTATAATTTTTTAAGTTAACGCAGGTTGACTTTGCCTTGTTGCTCCATCAGCTAGCAAGGCACACGTCAATAGTCTAGAGAAACCAGACTTCATACCACACGTGTATATGAGAACAGGAAGTGACATTGGTATTCTGAAATTTTACCGGTTTCTATGTCTTGTCATGATGCTTTCTATCTAGTCCGATTGGACTACTTCTGCAGTGCACTATTTGCGTGGATATTCAAAATAGAGGGGCACTACGGCCTGAAATCCCAGAAAATGTTATGTTTTTGGATTGTCTACTTATCCTTTTTCGAAGGTCTGGTTGGAAGGAAACCAACCTTATGTCTTACCATTCCCAAGAAAAGACGAAACTCATATTTGCTTACTGCTTCTAACACCGGACATTTTGCAACACATGCATACGTATTTCCAGCCGTGTCCATTCAATGTATGGTACACGTTGCGTGTGTAACGCATAATACACACGGCACCAATACACAAATGTTGTTTATGACCCTACATCATAGATCTGATACACCGTGCCCTCTGGAGACAAGCACACAATTGGGAACAAAAGATTGTATACGTCTCCACAGGGCAATTTCTATAGTTGAATACGTCTCCACAAGGTTTTCACGAAATAGATATATGGATTTTACTCAAAAGCTAGGAATTTCCAAGGTGGGTTGATCTGTCGCAAATGGAAGAGTTTTAGAAAAGGGATATTAAGTCCGAATTTCAGCCAAGGAAATTAATTCTGGTTAAAATAAGAGCATTTTGAAACTTCACTTTCACAAACTCGAAAACTTTACTACACGAGAACAAAGAAATGTCTCCACAAGATTTCGAGACTGTGTTGAGACTTATACATGTAGTTTGTGATGAATGTTGATCTGACCAAGGCAATCGCATCATACCAGCACATGTTGTTGACTAAATTTTCACGAGTAAAAGTACTTGCCACGAGTATGAAAACGAGTACAAGTACTTTGCCATTATTATTATTATTATTTCATTTCTGGTAATGAACAAAGGATTCCTCAAAAGCGCCCCAGGCACTGTAGCTCGCAAGCCTGACGAAACCTGTAGAGAGGAGACAATGAGAAGAAATGACAGTTTTAGAGGTGGGAGGAAAACCCCAGAAGAATATTCCGAGGAAAACCCACGGAATCAGGTAGGGACTGAAAACCCAATCCACATATTGGCCCAGACGGGATTCGAACCCGGGTCACAGCGGTGGAAGGCGATGAAAGTACCGCTACGCCAACCTGACTCCCCCTAGGTGAGTACAAGTAATGGTATTTCACCTCTTGCGATTTCGAGAATGAGTACACTGGTCACAAAAATGTTCTCGAGTATGAGTATGAACAGTGCAGTTGAATGTGCATTCATGTTTTTCATCGCACATTCAAAAAGTGTTCTCAAAATCAACTTCAACTGGATGTTTTTCTGCTTTTGTTTCAGTATGAAATTATTTCAACAATTTTCCCTGTGAGTTTATAGAGAATTTGAGTTTGAATTCATCGGCAAATACCACACATTATAAATTCACAATAGTCAAGAAAACTTTACACACATTTGATCAGTTTAATCAATTTGATGAACACACGATGACGGTTAATCCGTCCACAAAGATATCTATTGGAATTCCTAAGCTGATGAAAATTCTGAATTAGACGGCAAAAATGCAAAGAGGTTCAGTCGCAAGACACTCTTAAAGACGAGTTTTGCCTTGCGACGTCATAGGACAATTTGCCGCAGAATTCAGGCCCATTCATCAGCTTGGAATACTCTACAAAAAAAATCACAAAAATATTGCAAAATCAGCTGCAATCAAAGAAAATCAGCTGCAATCAACTAAGTGCTTTTGAAAATCTACCTTTGGTAATATTTTTGCGGTGGTTAGGTAAACAAATAGTTTATTGGACAGAAATGTTGGATTTAAAAATAACATCTGAATTCCAGACGCAAGTGTTCTTCTCGAAAATTTAAAAGAAAAAGTTTTAGAAAATATTTTTAAGGAATTCATAATATCAAGGCAACATTTTCTAACCTATGATTTCAAAAAGAAATTTTCACTAAAAAATCAGGTTTTATTTATCTGCTTGCAAAGGAATTTATGGAACCACACTTCAGTCAAACGATTCAAACTAAGAACAAATAAATATTTGCACATTTAAATAATTACTTGAATTTTACTTTTGGTGGAATGATTACAACGCTGTTGACTTCAAACCTCAAATGTCAATAAAGCCTGAAAGTTCACCCTGATGACGCGCTTCCGGAACCCTTGAACAGGAAAATTAATTTGCAAATGTTCCAGAATTTGCAATTCTTTTTGGTTCATTGATTTTTTAAGAAAATCACCCCTCAAAAAGGACATAGTAAAATTGTTCCAGCATTTCAATTTGTGGAAATTGGTAAATCACAGACGTGAAAGAGAAGTATTAATCCAAAAATTGACCTCTCACTTTCCAAAATCTAAAAATGCAAGCGGGCTAAACTTGGTGTACTCGTGCATAGATGAAAATTATGAAATAATTTTGTGGCGGTCATTAAGTGAAAATGGAAAGTTAAATGTAAGACCAATACGTCTTTTAGGGTTTACAATTTATTTTAAATAAACTTATGGGACCTCGATCATTGACGAATAAAATCTTAAGTGAACGCTGATAAGGTCTGCATTCAAGCCAACCTGACTAAATCTAGAACCCATCGGCTGAAGGTAGGTAAATCTTCGCGTCGTTATACAATACATTTTCGTACTCACACGAATACGCAATGTAACAACAAACGTGAACGAACAAGGAGACCTAGCAACAAAAATGCCAGATGTGAAAGGTCGTAAACAAAATTCCTTTTTTCTCAATCTCGAAGTGATTTCTCATCATTTTTTTCCTAAGAATTCCGAGATTATATTCCAACATGAATGTTTCTTGGGGTGGTTACAATAAGAAATCATGCTGCCAAAAATTATAGCTAGAGAAAGGGAAACCGAGTGTATGCCCATGGGTGGGCCGAGTGAGGGTTCCAGAAGTTTGTCGCGTGATGTTACACTTTCAGGCTCTATAGACAGATCCATTAGTCTACGCCCACATCGTCATACACAGCTGTGATTGGTCCAAAACAATCAAGGGGCAGGGCTTAATGGATCAATGACATCATCTTATAGTTTGCCTCCTTCCGCTGCATCACTCTTGTTCTCCTCTGCTTTTTTCGGAGACTCCAGACTTGGGACGGGTTCGTCGATGCCGAGAGCCTTGAGGACGTCGACCAGCTGGACGTGATCACCTGGGGAGGATTGCTTGAAGTCTAGAAGCACCTGTTTACCACCTGGATAACAAAATGGAAACAAAGAAGTACAATGGAATTTGCATATTACAACAATGGAATTTGCATACGAATATTGACTGAAGGAACAATACTAGGCCTGCGTAATCGCGCTGGATCAGAACATTTGATCGTATTTTTTAAAAATAATTTTAGATTGTACTGGCTCAGAAGCATCCTCAGTCCTGCAAAATCCTCCAAAAAAATGCACCCATCCTGACAGATTCCAACAAAACATGCCATTGGGGTTCGATGGGTTGAGTTCTGTTAGGGTTAATCCTTCAAATTCTCTGACTCATTTTTAAGACGTAGAGGCAGTGAGAATGACTGTGGATGATATATCTAGTATGGTGTTGGTCTACCTCCATGCACAGCTGAACTTAAACAAAGCAAGGCACAGCTTAAGGCCTCGGCACAATGCATCCTCCAAAAATCAACTTCAAAGGCATACAGCCTCAATCCTCCAAAATCGTCCAAAAGTGCCTGGTTGATTTTGAAATGTAACTCATGAATGTAAACATTTGACAATACCTTCACTGACGATGAGTACTCCGCCCGTTCCTAAACCATCTCCCTTCATGTTGCCTGTGATACCTTGAGCTTTAGACTGAAGAAAATGAACAAACAAAATACAAACAATAAAACAGAAGTAGAGCGACAGATGTGGGTTTTTCTGTCTTCTGAAAGGTTATAATATACATTTGCTTTTGCTGTAATTTTCAGAAATGGATCGATTTGGGTTAAGTATTTCAGAGCTAATATTGTTACAATGTTTAAAGTTTTGAGTTCATAGATGCTGGGAAAACCAAGAAAAGAACGCTGAACATTGTAGTCAGGTTCCCTGAACGTACTTCAGACAAAATGGAGCAATTTATAGACGTTGGGGAATTGTAAGGTCAGGGAACCAGTCTAGCTGGCTTGTACCAGTTCATAGGTGTGTAATCAATTGCAAACAAAATGTGGCATAACTAAAGTTAGGAAATTGGGGCAGTTCTTGAATAAAAGTCATTTTTTCCTAACGAAGGTCAGCTGAATTCACGACATTTCTACTGTTTTATAGTAAATCCCGTTTGTGAAGATAATAAAGTTTAGTACAGACTCTACAGATTATGATTCATAATGAAAATTCCGTTAATTTACTCTGCTTTGCCAAGAAATTATAAAGAGCAGAGAACCAAGAAGCATTTATCAGAATCACGGCAAACGTCTTTCTCCGAGTGTTTACCTTGTTCAAGGCTTCTCTTGCTTTCTTGCTGAAGACGGCAGCCAAGATGTTCCAATATGAAAAACGTTTATAACCGATAGCAGCATAAGTTTGCTTCTTAAGATCAACGTACAATTCTGAAAAAGAAGTAAATAGTAAATAACAGCATATCAAAATTTACAGTAACAAAGCAAAATTAACAGCTTGTACAACTTAATTAATTTCTGAGCATAAAGCTTAGTAAAAATAAATGTACCCTAAGGCCAAAAAAAAAAAGTCTCCGGTTTCTGGTATGGAGCTTGCCCAAAAAGTGGTGCGGCGACGCGGCTTTTTTTTTTTTTTACCTGTTTTTTTTGCTTCAAATGTCGGCTGATGACTGCAAATGGTGCCCGACTAAACTTAGTGCAAATATATGGGAGTCCAGAGAGGCCACATAAAGCTTATTCTCGATCATAATCCCATCTAAAAACACGTTAAAATTGTGCAGCAGCAGGATTCCATTCAAACCAGTGAGTTTGGCGGTTTTGAGACATCATCTTTTATTGAAAAAAAAACTTTTTCATTTTGCCGACGCGCATGGCTACGGCGACGCGCGCTCATTCCAGAAACCGGAGACTTTTTTTTTTGGCCTGATGTGGCATGGCCCCCTAATGTGACCCTAATGCGGTGCAAGTTGATTTTTGCCCAAGTGCATTGCTAGAGCATTTTTTCCCTTTAATTTTCACAGTTGACCTGGGACGGAGTTGACTTGGGACTGAATTGACTTGGGACCGAGTTGATGTGGGACTGAGCTGATCTGGACTGTTGACTCGGACCGAGTTGACCAAAAACCCCTAGCTCTATGCTGCGACTTACCCCCGTCCCAAAACTTCCCTTCGACAAATTCTTGCAGACCAAACTCTTCGAGTCCAATACCAATAAGACGAATATTATGTGCATCCAGCTGGGGCTTAAGAGTGCTTAACTCTCTGGCGCCCAGCCTGCACAAAGGTCATCCAAAACGACGCATGAAATGGATGACGCAGGTCTGTGTCTTCCAAAAGGAGCCAACGGCTACCATCTAAGATGAAAAAAAATAGAACAGAATAATTGTTTGAAAACAGACATCTGAAAAATGCGGGACTTCTTTTGGAAAAATTCGGCTACCCGATCACCACTTTTTTCAATTTATGGTTATTCCTCCACTTTCCCTCCTCTACTCTCACCCTCTCCTTTCCTTAATTTCTATTTATTAATCAGTCAGTTACTTCATCGGGATTCGAACCTCTGACGCTTGCTTGATACACGAGACTCTTAACCGCTAGGCCGCGTACGATCGCTGTTGCAATAATCAATCTTTGGACGTATTTGAAGTATCTATTGAAATAAACTAAATATTCATGAGAAAATAAATATTCATAATGACGTATTGCACTATCATTGGCCGGCTCATGCGACGTCATAGTTATCGATGTCATGCGTATAACGTACCGCTGTTCCAGACACTTCAATCAGTTTTGACCGGCTGCTTCAACTCAGATCTGCACTACATGTGCATGCAAAATGTGCTCTAAAAACACATTTTTACTAATTTTTTTTTGCATGTCCACTGTTTCCTGGATTCCTCTTGGTTGAAATCACAAGGTGAGGTGAAAATTTGGATGTTTGGCGGCAGGTAAGTGGTGATCGGGTAGCCGAATTTTCCCCTTCTTTTCTATCGCTATAAAAAGAGGGTGAGTATGCTTCCAAAGCATAAATAAACTACAAATAAAAAAAAGTCTAAATGTGAAAATCAAAATTTGACAAAGTTTCTTCATTTTTGGTACAGGTTCCAAGTGTGGCCTTTATTTACAGAGGTAGTCCAGTAAATTGGCCACATTGGGGCTAGGGGAAATTCGGGCTAGGGACTGAGAAACATTTCCAATTTTGTTAGGAAATACTTGGAAAATGTTTTTGACTCTCCTTGAAGTTTGTACACAATCGCTGAAGTGGCGTCAGGTTGCAATATAATATAAAATTAAAAAGTAGTTTTATTATAATTTAATTAGGCCTACAGCAATTTTTTTTCAACAAATCTGGGAATTTTTCTAAGTCAAAAACGGTTTTTCCCCGCATATGTATTGGCAGATAATACATGTAATAAGTGTTATGAAGAGTGGCACCCAAATACTGCATTCTTTTTCTACTTGGTGGTATAATCAAATTAATCATCTCGAAAATACATGTATACATTTTTTTAAATAAAATAATTTGAACAATAAATTTAAATATGTCCGGAAACTGGGCCCAATATCCCCCCCCCCCCCAAAAAAAATGCGATTTCATCTCACCTCGCCACTGGAAGCACTCTTGACGAGATTGCCAGCTATTTTGGTGAGCATTCCGGCGCTGTCCATCGCGCTCAGCTTAACAGCCCTAGAGCTGTCCTGAAGTAGGTTCCGAAATCCGCAAATTTGTCCGCAGTTCTGGTAAGTTTTTTGCTTATCTCATCCCCGAGAAATCACAAGATCTTTGTGTACAAAATCTTCGTTATGTAATACGGTCAGAAATCCAGACTTCCTCGCGGCTATTGTACGATTGAGATCATGGCATCCTCAGTGCCAGGCTATTTTCGTGAACTCATTTCCTGTCGGCACAATAACCTTTTAATCTTCAGGGGAAATCAGTTATTTAGTTTCGCAATTTCCTCTTTTTCCCCTGAGGTATCGAATGGCTTTTTGTTGTGTCATTATATACATGTAACTGCAATTTTTGTTGCAACTGTACTTTGCAAATTTGATGACGACAAGGCAACTAATAATTTTGAACTCACTGTCCTTCGGATAACCACCGATTGGAATAAAGTCTAGTCGTGGTCCGCTGTTTGGAATAAAAATATTGGGGATGCTAAACAGTTTGTTGTAAAAATCTGTACAAAATGTACTAAAAGTTGTAAATCAAGATAACTGTGTGACTCTAGAGGCTTTGTCAACTCAATTAAGTACCGTTATATTGGGTAATTTGTTCAGTAGTTGTAACCCCCCCCCCTCTCAAAAACAGTTACCACCCCTGATCTGGAATACTGACACTGACCCAAGAGGGCGCACTATCATTTGCGCGGGTTTGTTTTGATGACACTACGTGCAGACGTGTACTTTCTGTAACTTGTGAGTTCTCTTTTCCTTTTTTAACTGGTTTAATGTAAGTATTTTAAAGGTTTGTAAGAATTGCATGTCAGATTCAAAGTTGAGATTACTTCTGGGGTATTTTAAGTGAAATCAGTGTATTCTGAAAGAAGGAACTTTAGAAAATCGTAGTGATTGACAAAGTGATTTTGCCACAGTGTATGTTTTATCTAATTCGTGATAAAAAAAGGCAGCGGATATGTAAACGTTTATTTGAAAGAATAGGTGTTTGACTTTGCAGCGCAATCGACCGATACTACATGTACTAGCTTCATGATCGTTCAATATTTGTGTTCGACCGGATCTGGCTTTCTTTAGTAAACGATATTTTGCCGGATATGCAATGAACATGCGCAGTGAGTGACTGTTTTTTATGCAGCACTTACATTTTTACCCTGACAAACATTACTTTGTTCCACTCCAACATTGTCGTTGTGAATTCGTATTCACAAGATGGGAATCATAGACATTATGATCTGGCTGTAGGTAGTATTTTGGGACAGTAAAATCTAGCTCTAGTTAGTATTACAGTTAATATCAATTCTTCAACAAATCAGACCTTTTTTAAATTGTTATAAATGTTATAAATGTTAATCATCTTTTGGTTGGAATTGCAGAGGCAGTGACCAGTGTGTTCAGGATTTAAGTCAAGCTCCACAATGTTCAGTTTACTGTATGGATTATGGCAGTATATGTTCCGACGAGATGAATACTTTGTCTTGATTCTTGGCCTGGACAATGCTGGAAAAACTGTAAGTCTGAAAAAGTAATGTAGTAAAAAACTAAAGTCTGTCACGAGTTAGCTGGAGTTACCCAGCCCTGAGTTTTATCATTGGGTTGTCATCTAGGGCTGGAGCGCATTTTTCTCAAAACTTGTAGTATTTGCAAAAAAAAATTGGAAAATGTTCAATTTTGTCCCCGTTACACACTAATTGCAACTGCAACTCACCCCAAACTTGCCTGGAATAACCATTACACAGGTCCTTGAAGTAAAAAACGATCCACGATGAAGATTCAGCCTACAATTGCAGTGAAAACAGGAGGAATAACCGCTAACTTGACAACCTTGCTGGATTGGCTAGGACCGCTATTGGTTTGTGCACAAAAAAAATTGTGTACAATGAATGGCGGTCGATTAACAGGCGCAGAGAGCGATCGCTGTCAACTACTCGTTTTGCCGGCTGCGCTGGCAGTTGGCGCATGACGTCACGCGGAAGCGTAACACCCGATGACTGTTTCATGCACTATTGGTTGCGGTTCCAGTACCAAAGCTGTGATGCGAGTGGTAAACCTTATACTAGTGCATGAAACAGTCATCGGGTGTTACGCTTCCGCGTGACGTCATGCGCCAACAGCCAGCGCAGCCGGCCAAAACGAGTAGTTGACAGCGATCGCTCTCTGCGCCTGTTAATCGACCGCCATTCATTGTACACAATTTTTTTTGTGCACAAACCAATAGCGGTCCTGGCCAATCCAGCAAGGTTGTCAAGTTAGCGGTTATTCCTCCTGTTTTCACTGCAATTGTGGGCTGAATCTTCATCGTGGATCGTTTTTTACTTCAAGGACCTGTGTAATGGTTATTCCAGGCAAGTTTGGGGTGAGTTGCAGTTGCAATTAGTGTGTAACGGGGACAAAATTGAACATTTTCCAATTTTTTTTTGCAAATACTACAAGTTTTGAGAAAAATGCGCTCCAGCCCTAGATGACAACCCAATGATAAAACTCAGGGCTGGGTAACTCCAGCTAGTCACGAGTCAATATGGCCCATCAGGCCGGCGTTTATCTCTGGTTTCCTTGGCATGAAACGACTGAGAATATTTCTATTCCCCCTGGATGGGATACCAGTCCATCGCAGGTTACTCCCCAGCTAATGCCGGTACCCATTTATACTCCTGGATGGAGAGAGGCAAGTAGGGTGAAGTGGCTTGCCCAAGGACACAACATGGCCAGCAGCTGAATTCGAACCCCTGACCCTTTGATCATGAGTCACAAACACTAACCATGAGGCCACACTCCCCAAAGTTTGAAAAGTGACCCTGCAAAATAAATTTCACCAATCTTTTTCATTTCAAATTGTCTCATGCTGATTTGTGAACATTGTTTCCTTTCATCAGACATTCCTACAAACAACTCAGATGCAGTTCAACAAGAATTACAAAGGCATGCCGTTGGATAAGATCACGACAACAGTTGGGCTTAACAGTAAGTTATTCCACTAAAAACTAAAGTTCTTATTTCAGTGTCGTAGCTAGCCCTCTGTGCGAGCACAAGGTTCCAGTGTGATTTATGTAGCAATTCACGAAGAACATTTAGTACAAAAAGTGAAGGATATGATTTTACCGCACTACTAAATGACAGATCGCCTTTGTGTACACGATATGTCACTTCGTGGTGCAGCAACTGTCCAACGGCAAAGTAAGAATTCTTAACCTGAGTTGAAGTCCAATATAATTTGATGAGAGAGAATATTAGTAAGGGATTAACCCTTACCCTACTAGACCCTCCAACGCATGCCAATATGTGCCTCAAGAAAATCTCCTATGTTTTTTGCATGGCCCTCCAATATCTGCCATGTCATTTCAAGGGTAACTGGACAGGCACTCCAATACATGCCACAGAGAACAATGAGAGTCCTCTGATAACAAAGTGAGTGCCCCCAGCTGGTCAGTATCAGGCACCCTCCAGGGCCTCCAACTCCTGCCAATTGGAGCCTTCACTGTTAAGACAAACTATCTGCCAATAAACTGCAGCTGGAGGGCATTGGCGTAACCAACTGACATGCAGTAAACTACCCTCAGAGAGTAAGGGTTAAAGTAGCTGATAAAAGTGTAGAAGTGCAATATTTAGAACTACTCGTTCACGTTGCATTCAATACCTAAATGCTTTTTCACACTAGACAAATGTCACGGTTGACGCGGGGTTGACGCAGGGCTGAACACATGCGGCGTTTCACACTTGACAATTTTCAACCCTGCGTCAATCCTGTGTCAACCCTAAGATTGATTTTGCCCCTGGTTGCACTCAACCCTGTTCCAGATCAGGGTTGAGATTTTCAACCCGGGTTGAAACTCTTGCCAGGTTTCAAAGCAGTAGTAACCGAGCGAAATAAGCTCGATTTGCTAGAAACAAGTGTGAAACGATGCGGGGTTGAACGCGGATTGAAAAATCAAGAGCTCAACCCGGGGCGGCACTGGGTTCACCCAGGGTTGAGTGGCTCTAGTGTGAAAAGCCTTAAGATGTTTTACGGATGCTTTACTGTGACCCTTTCAACATGGCGAGTTTTAAAAGAACAATACCTTACCTCAAATCTTGTCTTAACTTTCACCATCCAACACAGTTGAACTTTCAAGCTAACAGTGCCTTATGTTTGTCTTACAGTTGGTAAGATAGACACTGGACCGATCCGTTTGATGTTCTGGGATCTTGGCGGACAGGAGGAACTTCAGGCCCTATGGGATAAGGTACGGAAAGGTTTTGACGCTGAAATCACGACAAGTTGTTTTTGTGATAAGCACAAGGTCAATTCTTTGGAGCTTCTTGACCTAAAATCAAGTATCAGGCGGCAATAACTGATATTGATTTGTTTTGAACCATTTCCTTGCAGTATTATGCCGAATCTCATGGCGTTATTTACGTTGTGGATTCAGCAGACAAAGAGAGATTAGAAGAATCCAGACGAGCATTTGGTAAGTTTCATGAAAATGTCAAGTAAAATTATCAATCCAGTTTCATCTTGTTAATATCACATTCATTCATCATCGGAAATTTGCCTTCCTTAAAAAATTCAGATGGTGAATCAGACCTTGAAACATAAGGCATGTGCGATTTTGTTGACCCACCAAACGAGTCTGAGTATCGGACGTTCATGTGTGTAGAGCCACACGGACGAATGTCTGATATTATCCAAGCATGCACATTTTATGCGACCAGCATGCAGCCAATCGGAGTCAACTTTAGAAATTGTGACGTCGTTTCGATCAAAAATGTTGACTAAGCTGTTGTTTGGTCAATTTGGCTGCCGTGAATTTGTAATACAACAATGGGTTACGGATCCCACGGAAGACCCGATAGAAGGCGCCCGCTGAATGTCAGAATCTCGAGGTCAAGACGCAGTCTTGTTTTGCATATTTAAAACTTGCATATTTTGCTCACATTCCATAGACTAAGATTTGCACTGAGCGTTAATTGAACTTGACTATTTCTCTTCTAGATGAAATGTTGTCTAGTGAAGCGCTACACGGTGTACCGTTGCTTGTCCTTGCCAATAAACAAGACTTACAGGTACGTACACCCAAATACTAAATTTAAAAAAGAAAGATGAACTATAATTTTTACCAAACAAATCAGAATAACCTCAGAAGTTATAATATAATGAGAATCTCTCTTCTTTACTGTACTAGGATGTTCTACATGTGTCGGACATTAAAGCAGAATTCAACAAAAGTTCATCAAGTATTGGAAGACGAGATTGCCACATTCAGCCTGTATCGGCACTTACTGGGTAAGGCGTAGTCGCACTGCCGCCATATTGGTCTGGTATCCACTATCCCATTATGCATATCACTAAGAAATTTTTCCTTCGCAAAGGCATCAGACCATTTAGCTAGTATGTACCTCGTACCTTGTAAATCAAGGTATGTATTGTAGCTATCCCTGTCTAGTATCCCTAGCCTTGGGGTAATCATAATAAGTTAATCACAATGTTGTAGGCACCAGACTATTTTGGACACAACTTTGTTACAATCAAAACAGATTATATGGAATTTGCATATTTTTGTTCCTAGAGTTGAAACCGACTCCTCAGTGATGAAAATCTTATTAAAGGGAAAATACAACATTTGCAAACATCAAAAAATAAAACTACCACATCATTTTGAAATACCTTGCTGGACTGTTAGTGTTAGTGAATGACAGTGTAAAGCATCCTGTAAAATCATGGCACCTGGTATACTGTCATTTTCAAGAAAAGTGGTATTTTCGTATCAATTTCCAACGCTGATTCGGCCGATCAGCGTTGGAAACAACTGGCCCTTTTTTTCAAATACTGGCCCCAATTGACCATCGCACTTGTTTGCAATCGATTACAAACCTATGAACGGGTATGAGCCAGCTAGACTGGTTCCCTGACCTTACAATTCCCCAATGTATGTAAACTGCTTCCTATATGGAGTCAGGGAACCAGACTACAGGAAAATGATTGTTTTTCTTGGTTTTTATAGCATTTTTGAACCCAAAACCTCAAAAAAGTCAGTGTAACTATATTTGCTATATATTTCCAACCCCCCAATTCCATCCATTTCTGAAAATTACAGCAAAAGCAAATGATGTATATTCCCTTTAACACAACAGTATGTAAACATCAATCATTTGGAGTTGAATGATCAATTTAAAGGGACATAACGTCCTGGAATACGCCCAATTGGGCTACAAAACGTGTTTTAAATGAAACAATATTAATTGGAAAGAGCATTTTGAAGTAGGATATGTACGTCCACACAACCATCCTTTAAAACTGGGCGTGTTTGTGTTGTTCTTGCGAGAACCACGCGAGAAAGAATTTCGGGGGTCATAATTTTGACTCTCAAAAATCGAGCTGTTGAGTGCTAGTTGTGAATCCTGCCATACAGTGCATCGCATTCTGCGGACGTGCGAGAAACAACATTCATGTAATGGTGCTGTGTGTATTATGTGACACATAAACAACGAATACCGTACATTGAATTGAAGCGGCTGCAAATACATTTGCGTATGCCACAAAATGTCCGCCACGTCCGATGTAAACAACCATGTTTTTTTCCGTCTTTCCTCGGGAACGGTTAGTTTCCTTTCAACCAGACCTTCGAAATAGGATAAGTAAACAATCCTAAACATAAAATTTGTGGGGAATTCAGGCTGTAAGGCCTTTTTAACCCTAACTTCCCAGCATGATTTACTAGGAACCATACGCATCCTGGCAAATTCCAACACCATATGGGAAACTGCACGCACATATTTCTGACTTTGATTCTGGAGGTGTGCCAACCCAATGTAAAAAACTGTCAGTTTAGGGGTACTGTACCCATCCTGACAGATTCCAACAAAACATGCTGTTGGGGTTTGATGGGTTGAGTTCTGTTAGGGTTAATATAGTTTACAACTTTTTGCACAAATGCATTTTGTGCTTGACATGTCAGGTACATAAATTGTGCACTAAATCTGATCCCATCTCAGATTGAGGATTTGTTTTTGTTTTTGTGGTCAGACAAGGAGTAAATGAAGGAATCGACTGGCTGGTGGAATGCGTCAAACGGAATACGTACCAGAGACCACCGCATGCGAAAGAGATCAGCTGATGAGGTCAAAAGGTCAAGGGTCAGGTCAACTCGTAATGGACTTATTGTTGACGGTCCTACATGTGTTCAGAACTTGATGTAAACTTCACAAGAAACATTTAGTGAAAAACTGATACACTGTTTGGAGGTTCTCATGAAAACTAATATGATGATGTGACATCATGCCTGGTGGTTGGTGGATATAACCGTACACAGCGCCCTCATTAGTTTATGCACAGAGCCAATACCAGAGGCTTTTTTCAAACTTTGGATTGAGTTCAGCTTCGCCTTCAAGCTCAAGTTTTGTGATGTCAGCTCCTGGATGTAGGAGACTCAGTTTCAGTGTTGGGTCAAATGCATACAGTATGTTTATAAATGTCAAATCATAAGAATTATATCAAGACAAAATGTTAAGTATGTTTATGTTCAGTTGTTCAAGCCCGAGAGGCTTCTAAAATCACTCTAGAGCCAGACATGAAGCCAGAGCTGAAAACAGTGCCAAGTTTTGAAAAATGGCTCAATATCGATCTAAGAATACAAGAAGCTTGTTAAATTTAAATACATCATGTTAATCACCCCTGTTGGAAGAATAAGACTCGTACGTAGGGGTGGGCATTGGAGCCGGATACCGGAGTACCCGACCGCTGATGTCAGGAACCGGTTCCAGATAATGGGATCGGGTACCCGTAACCAACTTTACAAATTACTTAGTAACTTCTCAGATTATGGAAAAGAAATGTGGGAAATTGTGGGGAACTTTCAAAACGAAAACCAGGCTACGTGGAAAACTAAAACAGATTTTACGTTTATGCGCATTTTGATGCGCAACAGATGACGCTTGCGAAAGTTGAAGTTTACACAGTTAAGCTATAAAGCCCTTCGAACAACTTGATTTGAATTTGGGGGTTGGGTTTCTTTTACGTGTATACGGGTATTCGGATACCCGTGGTTTACTTCAGTGGTGTACCCGGTTACCGTACTACTACTGAAACATGTATAAATCCCCATGTTTCTTTTAAGTCGCAAGATACTTTTGGTGTATTTCGTGTGAGTTTGGTCTGTTAATATGAATCACTGTGTGGTTCATTGCATTTATAAACATCAATGTACATGTATATGCATTTATACATGTATAAATGCACTTGGTTGTATTGCATTATTTTTATATGTTAATATTTTGTATTTAAATTTATCGGCCTATTCTGAGATTAATTATTCGTTACCTCTCCAATCGAATCAGTCGCTTAGCGCTGGTCTTTCTAAATTCTTTTAGCCAGTTTGCTACAAAATATCCAAACATTGGGGGTGTGATATTTTTTGTTTGGTTTGTAGCTCATCTTAAAGTTGGCATAGGTGTTGCAAAATGTGATATCCATAGCTGCTATAACAGACCATATTCATGTGAAAGCTATTTTCGATGTGTTCCCTTAATCTATATTACAAATTGTGAATTGTGGAATGGGATGGTGCCAGACTATTTCATGATTGGACGGCGTTCAAAGCCTCACTTTCATTTATTTTTAAATGTGGCTTAAAACATAAGGGTATGTTTAATCACAAGTTTTAAGTTATTTATCAGAGCAGACTGGTATGAATTTGTAATGAACTTTATTTCATTGCTTTCATTTCTACTTTTATTTCATTCCAAAAATGACAAGTTTGCCTCGCCAGGGTGACCGTAAGGTCATGGCTAAATTCTGCTAAATGCACTTCAAAAATCTGTCAGATTTATCAACAATCTGCCAAATTCCCCAGAATTGCTCGAAATACACTATTAACACTTTAAATCACATGCAGATGTTGTGTAATATTGCCTTAATTAATATTCAAATTAATGTTCAAAAGCCAAATATAGATAATCTGAAATTACGTAAATTTCAGGCAAAAACGCGGTTGCGTCTTGACGAAATCCGGTTCCCAGTGAACCTCAGCACCTAGACCAGGCAACCTGTCCTATTTTGCAAGGGTTTGTTTCAAAAGATTGAAGCTTGTGAACCAATGTACCATTTTTTTTGCAAATTTGCTATTTTTTCTTTCAAATAACCATTTTTGCAGAATTCTGCCAGAAATCTGCCAAAAAAATCCATTCTGTCAAATTTTCTGTCAAACTTGCTTTTTAACAAAAAATCTGTCAAAGTTAGCCGAAAATCGGCTAAAACGGTCACTATGTGCCTCGCTTCAAATTTGATATGGCCAACTCATGAATAATGTCTATTTTTAGTACTACGTAGGCTATGTCAAGGCCATTTGCAGCAATGTTGTGCAACATGTCTGGGAAATATGCAAAATATTCAATTGACTGGGAACGTTGTAACATATTCTATGGTTTGAGCCTCAGTGAATTTTACGGGACTTTTAAACCTAAAAGTCACAAAAGGTTACAGAACTTTTTATTTAAATAACACAAACGTAATGGGCCAGTGCTTTTGGGTTCTGATCTGAAGAATTTCTTTACAACAAAGTTATAGAAGGGAAAAAATAGACAGTATCTCTGCAAAAATGCTGGAAAAGTATTTTAAAAGTCTTTTTTCCCCTCGAAAATCAAGTTCTCTTTGAAAAGTTGAAGTAAAACGTTTATTTTGTTGTAAACGAAATTATGTTTCGAAGCAACTTGGAATTGTCAATAATACAGCCTCACTGTGATGTATTTATTGAATAAAATCTTTTTGAGGATTAAAAGTAATTAATTTGCTGGGTAACTCTTTATTAATACGGCTTTTGGGTTCATATCTCGTTTTATAAGTCGCTAGTTCGTGTTGATGTCCAATCTTCTGATGACTTGCTGAAAAAAATTTGACCAAGAAGTCAAATCCAAATGTCCTGTAGTGAACACCCTACAGGTGAAAAAGATGGAGCATGGGATAGAAAGTGTTTATAGAATGTCACGTGATATTATATAGATGACATTAAAGGTGAATTTATATTCTGGCATAAATATTGATATTAGTGCACTTAATGCTGTTGCCCCTTTAAATCCCTAGTGACAGGCAAATAGCTTGTATGATTATAAAAGCTATGCCTAGGGAAATAGAACGCCCCATAGATCAACTCGGGAGGTTATAGTTATACTATACACCACTCGAAGCAGTCAATATCTGCATTCACCAGCCGTTCCCTTTTTAACTTTAACTTTGATCTTTGGTACAATGTGTTGATCTATTATCAAAGCTTATTATCGAGTGTTCAGCATTTAGGGCTACTTCGATACACATTTACAGCTGTGCATGTACATCGGTAAAGTAGTCGTCAGTATTAAACACGCCCCTTGTTTGTATTGAAAAAAACCCTGCAATAATATAGGTAAGCGCAGAGATATAGTAACGTCAATAATTGTAAATGTATTTTAAAATGAATGTACTTTCGTATTTATTATATTGGATTGATAATTGATATAGATGGATAACACGAACATTGTGTACTGTTATGTAGAGTGCGAAATCGGGGAGGGGGTAGGGCAGTTGGGGTGGGGATGGGGTTGGGAGGTAAGAAGGGGTGGGTTGGGGTGGGAAAGGTGGGATAGGGAAGGTAGGGTTGGGAAGGTGGGGTGGGGACAGTAGGTGGGGAAGTAAAGGTGGGTTTCGGAAGGTGGTGTTGGAAGGCGGGGTGGGGAAGGTGGGGTGGGGTAGGTAGGGTAGGGAAGGTATAGGGTGGGGAAGGTGGGGTGGGGAAGGAGGGCGGTGGGAAGGTGGGGTGGGGAAGGAGGGCGGTGGGAAGGCGGGGTGGGAAGGCGGGGTGGGGAAGGCGGGGTGGGGAAGGCGGGTTGGGGAAGGCGGGGTGGGGAAGGCGGGGTGGGGAAGGTGGGGTGGGGGGTGGGGAAGGTGGGGTGGGGAAGGTAGGGTGGGGAAGGTAGGGTGGGGAAGGTGGGTGGGGAAGGTGGGTTTGGGAGGGTAGTGTGGAAAGGTAGGGTGGTGAAGGTGGGATGGGTGAGGGTAAATTTTGGGCGTTGTCTTGTTCTTAAGCAACGGTAACGTATTACTCCTATATTAACATTAAAAGTATGGGTGTTTTGGAGCTCACAGGTTATTGCAAAAAGGACTATACCCATGGCCAATTGCCGAAATTCTCGAACGGTAATAGGGCCTAACGTGTGTAAGCCTAGTTTCATTTCTGAATTTAAATAAATACAAATTAAAATATAAATTTATACAAATATTGAACAAAGAAATTGACTGGAGTGGGGTTTGAACCTGCGACCTCCGGATTACATACCGGCGCGTGACCCAATAATAATGTTTATAAACAGCCACAGATGTTATACAGTTAAAAGTTCTGATTGTAATTTGGTGTTTCAACCAGGAAGAAGTGTTCAAAGAAAACAAGATTCAGTCAAGATGACTTCAAAATCTTGTGTCAGTGACGAGCTACAGCATCTGATGAAACAGGCTGAATTGGAGATTGATCAGTCGGTGGGCAGCCTGAATGAACTCAGTCGGGACATCTGGAACCATCCGGAGACAAACTTTAAGGAACACCACGCACACAAAGTATTAACGGAATTCCTGGAGAAGGAAGGGTTTCAGGTGGAACGACACTTTGTACTGGAGACAGCATTCAGGTTGGTAGAAGCTAGTGGATTAAACTGAAAGAGCCGTAGGTTCCTTCAAAGTAGGCGGAGTCGGCATTACCTCCCTTTTTTTAATCGATGAAGATCGTACAATGAAAAACATGATTCTCTTTTCGGAAATTAAATTACATAAAAACTATGCCCTAATATCTTTCACTTTATGATTTACATATGAATCAAAACTTATCTCTTGTATCTCGAGAACCTCTCCAGTAGCCATTTTTAACGATGACGTCACTGTGACGTCATCAAAAGGTAAGTGACGACAAAGTCATGATATGAGTACCGCCACCATGTGATTTTCAACAAAATCAAGTTCTCTATGTTAAAATGCGTACGTTCTAGTTCCTTGTAACTCATTTGATACGAGTAAGATCGCAGCCAATTATTTCTCAAAAGTCGTGTCCATTACATAAAAAAGCTGCTTTACTTAAAACAATTTGAAAGAGGTATACATTTTTTTGGCAGGGCTACATTTGGCTGTGATGACGCCGGTCCTAATATTTGCGTGATGTGCGAGTATGACGCACTGCCTGGAATCGGACACGCTTGTGGTCATAACCTGATAGCAGAGGCTGGAGTTGCGGCTGGAATGGGAGTCAAAGCAGCCCTCCAGGCTGGTGGAAATAAGTACGGAAAGGTGAGTATGACGCACTGCTTGAGACCATACCATAAAGCTATGGACCAGACACGCTTAGACATAACCTGATACAGCAGAGGCTGTAGTAACGGCTGGAATGGGAGACTTAAAACACCTCCAAGCTAGTGGAAAAAAAGTATGGAAAGGTGAGTATGATTCACTGCTTGAAACTGGATACACTAATGGTCATAACCTGATAGCAGAGATCGGAGTTGCGGCTGGAATGGGAGACCAAAACACCTCCAAGCTAGTAGAAATAAAGTGTGTTAAGTTGAGTATGACATCTATTCCTTGCTCCATGGACATAACCTGATAGTAGAGGCCGGAAAACCGGCTGGAATGAGAGTCAAAGGAACCCTTCAAGCTAGTGGAAACAAGTATGTAATGGTGAACACACTTGTGGTCATACCCTTAAAGCAGAGGCCGGAGTAGCGGCTGGAATAGGAGTCCAAGCGTCCCTTCAAGGTAGTAGAGATAAGTATGCAATTCTTTTGTTTTTATCAGGTTACAGTAATGGGCACGCCCGCCGAAGAGGGAGGCGGCGGCAAGAAATTCTTGATAGATGCAGGAGCATTTGACGACGTTACGGTGGCGATGATGGTTCATCCTTCCAAATACAATATACTGCGACCTATCTATCTATCTTTGGCCATGTAAGACATTGCTTCATAAAATGTATCAACTAGAACACTGCTCAAATAGTTTAGTGCTGATCAGTTTCAAAAGCACACACTGGTTTGTTTTGAAGAAAAGATTTTTTCTATAGTCAAAGAGAGGGCAACATTAAAGGGAATGTACATCATTGGGTTTCGCTGTGATTTTCAGAAATGAACTAGTTAAGGGGTTAGTATAATAGATCAAAATATTGTTACACTGACATGTTTGAAGTTTTGTGTCCGAAAATGCTCGAAAAAAACAAGAAAAACAAAAATGTTCAAGTAGTCTGGTTCCCTGACTCCACTAAAGATGAAATGGATCAAATTATAGATGCCGGAAAATTGTAAGATAAGGGGAACCAGTCTAGCTGGCCTGCACCCATTCATGAACATGTTACCAATAGCAAACACAATTTGAACTGAAACAAATGGTCAATATGGAGCAGTAATTGAACAATAGTTAGGTTTTTCCAACGGTGGTCGGCCGACCACCGTTGGAAATGTATACAAAAATACCATTTTCTTGAAAATGACTTTACACCAGGTGCCGTAATTTTACAGAATGCTTGTGACTGTCATTTACCAACATCCTAGTAAGGTATTTCGTAAAAACTTGGTAGTTTTATTTTTCGATGTTTGCAAATGTTGTATATTCCCTTTAAGTATTTAGTCACTTGTGCCTTAGCCTGGTGAAGAGAGCCGGGCAGTGCTCTCATATAGGATTACACCGGGCTCAATCATTGTGTACACCTGATGCATGAAAAGACTTCCAGTGAATAGCCATCATTAATCAATCGAATGGAATGCTTTGCGCTCTGTACTAACTTTACTGGGCTTTTCCTGTCTTGTTTATATACATGTACATGTACTGAAATTACAAATTTGTTTTGGGTAAACATAGCAATAAAGTGCGTGGAAAATAAATTTGATCAGTGTCTTTAAAGTTTAATGGTTTCTCAATACCTACATACAAAGTGCTCGAGGACAGAGAAGATGAGTGGGTTTTGTTTCTTATTATAGGCCATAAAGGATTCTCCTTCATCTTCCTTTATTCTTCCTAAAAGTATGATTTTTGTTTCTTTTCCAAGCTTTGTCATCAATTTCCACGGTTTTGCGACCCACGCGGCGACCGATCCATGGGTCGGCGTCAACGCGTTGGACGCGGCAGTCGCGTGCTACAACGCCATATCCGCACTCAGACAACAGATGAAACCAACATGGCGCGTTCACGGTGGGTCTTCAAAAGAAAACCAAGGACTTCCGTACAATACCGTAACTAGTCTGGTTCCCTGACCAAGATTCTGAATATTTCTGTTGAATCTTAAGCCAGGTAGCCGCTACGGCACATGACCAAAACGGGAGGAATGCCTCCGTTTCCGAAAATGTCCGAAGTTTGCCGAATGCATTTCGTCGACACTCTCGGATAGCACCCGGGTATTTCCGGGTATAAAATAATTGTTTTGTTAATTTTATTATTTTGTGTACAAATGAGTGCGTTTAAGGCAATTTATTTTCCAAATTTCCAACTTTTGACATTTTCTTTAATACATGCATGTTCAATTAATGCTCAAGTTTAAGATTTTAATGATTTTGATGACTTTATGCACTTAGGTCAGTTTTTTACTTAATCGATGTACACCATGCACAAATATGAAATATGTTTTATGATTTTTTTTTACAAATCAAAACTATTTATATATCAAATATATCTGTAAGTTATTATAATCCATTTACTGTATTTTTTTTTCTAAATTCAGCAATTATAACAAATGGTGGCTCTGCCATTAATGTGATCCCGGAGGAAGCTGAGATAACCTGCTGCATCCGAGCTTTAGACGAAGCCGACTTGAATGTCTTGAAGAAGAAACTCCTCGCCTGCGCGAACGGTGCAGCTACAGCATCGGGATGTAAGGTGAGAAGTCAAGAAAAGTCTGCTGAATGGAGATTGGTCAAAATAGACCCCGCCCACGGCGCACGTGACATCAACACGCGCGTGCTTCTCCAATGCCTTACTACATGCGCGCATGTTCGGACATAAATCACGGCTGTGATTGGTCAAAACAACACTGGGCGGGGCTTAGTGGATCAATGGTCACGTCTTTGGGCGAATGAGGGTGTTGTATGACATCATTTTTTTAAGGTACAACAATGCATGGTGAATCTAAGGTTATTAAAAGTAAAAGATGTTGTTTTACTTTAAAATGACATTTTTACACTCTTTAATTTTAAGATTGAAGTGAAGTTTCTAAATTTCTACTGTTTCTACCCAGAGAATGCTCAAGTATATGGCCTATTGTAACGTTTCTAACACGTACTTCATTTACATATTCATTTACATTTTCATTCAAACTTAATTACATGATTCCCCCCATTTCCTTATCATCGAGTACGAGTACTTTGATGATGGAGTACGATATCGAATAGTCGATTCTAGACATGTACTGTGTTTCTCGAGTACGAGTACCCGTGAATTCGACTCCGAGTACGAATGCGAGTACAAATAGAATATTCGCGAGTTGTACTCGAGTACGAGTACTGAATACTACAACACTGCAAAAATGTCATTGAGCAAACAAATCTTAGATTTACTGTACCTTTATAGGTGACATTTTAAAGAAACTGTCATTGTTGCATGAGACATGCAATTTACCATATGGAAATCACATTGTATAGTTTCCAACATGATACTGGGACCTGATGATTATCTCAACGACTGTTGCGTGTGAGTCCTCTGAAAATCCTTCTATGAAAAATTCAGTGTAGTACCAAAGGAAATAATTTCAGTTTTAACATGCATGATATCGGGATCTGATGATTATCTCAACGACTGTTGTATGTGAGATCTCTGAAGACTCTGTTCCTTAGCTCTATGATTCAATGTACCATTGCAATTTCAAGTTCAACGCACATGATAGTGAGACTCAATAATTATCTCAACGACTGTTTGATGAGTGTCTTCTGACCTCTATTATTTCTTCTTGAAGGTTGACTGGAAACAGTCGTCATCTTTTGCCAGCCTCATCACAAACAATCGGCTTCTATCCCTGTACGAGAAGCAGGCTAAGAGGCTCGGGTGGGATAATAACCCTGAACTCTCTGATAGCATCAGGATGACTGGATCATCAGATGTTGGGAATGTCTCCTACGTGGTCCCTACAATCCACCCTGAATATCAAATCTGTGACGAGGCCAGCTACCACACGCATGATTTCACGGCTAAAACAGGTAAGAGAGAATCACTCGAGAGAAAAAAATGCTTGATTTTTTTATTATTAATATTATTATTGATATCAATTCTGGTAATGAAACCAAGGATTCCTCAAAAGCGCCCTAGGCACTGTAGCTCGCAAGCCTGACGAAACCTGTATAGAGGGAAGACACTGAGAAGAAATCACAGTTTTAGAGGTGGGAGGACTACCCCAGAATATTCAGGGGAAGCTCACGGAATCAGGCAGGGACTGAAAACCCACATATTGGCCAAGGCGGGATTCGAACCCGGGTCACAGCGGTGGAAGGCGAGGAAAGTATCGTTAGGCCAACCTGACACCCCTGAATACTGTGACGTTTACGTAGTTAAATGTTTAAACGAAAATGAAAACACTTTCGTTTACGCAGTAGATGCTGCCACCATTTCAGTCATGTTCCCTGTATCAAATAACAGTACTGCATGATAATTGTGCAAAAAAGAACTATTTTTTTCCTTCCAGCCCCGCTTTGGTTATGTTGATTTGAATGGGGAAAAATCAAGCTGGTCGCAACATGATAATGATCTTCCTTTGAGTTAAACATACATAGCACAAATAATCAACAACGTTTTCAAACCTAATTTACAAAACCTTAGAAGCACCGCAGTGATTGATCACATTCGGGTACACGTAGTTAAGTTTTTACTGTTCCCAATGACTGCCCGATATTTATTATATCAATCGTTGTTTATTTATCATGTCTATCACGATGGTCTGCAGACATAATGGGCAGGCGTCAGCCTTCACTTTGAAATTGCTGAACGTTCAAACGTTTAAAGGGCTCTTAAACGTTTGCTAAACGTTTACAAAATAAATCACAACATCCTTAGGCCTACAGATGATGAGTTAAAAGAGGACATGCAGAAAACGTAATTGCATAGAGCGCCCTCTCTTGGCGAAGGTCTCTGTTCCACTCTAATACGCATGTGTAGACACTTTGTAATTGCATTGGGTGCGTTGGTTTGGCTCACCCGAGTCGACACGGGTAAAGGCTGACGGGTCAGCCACCTGGTCTTTATATTTTATAAAGACCATGACTTTGACGCTGTCCAAATATCTCTGATTTTGTCCTGTAGTGTCGCAGCGTGCCGAGGCGTCAACACTCGTCCAAGCAAAGATCCTCTCATTGATCGCCGTAGAACTCTTACATCCGAGCGGACAAGAAACCCTCGATAACATCCGCAAAGAATTCAAAGAAGAGGTCAAGACGCTGTCGCCTCCGGAATACTGAAGTCTCAATACAGACGATGTGGACTGTCTTAGTTTCATGAAAAATAAAAAAAACCTCATGACTCAAGGACTCATGACAAATTTCTACTCCTCTTAAAATGTATGAAAATAACTTGACATCCCATTTTGGTTTGTCTAGACTTATTGACAATTACAAGTGCATTTCTGTCCATGCTTCTCCGGACAATTGAGGGCGCTGTTGCTGTGATGTCATTGGATTAATGATTCGGGTTAATGTTCTCGAGCAAGATAGCTGACCACAATAATTGCTACAACTTGCGGCCACTGGTACCCGGGTGTGGCAACTGTGAATCACTGAACATGACAATATGTTAACCCGTCAATTATTTCAACGTGTGATTTGTACATTAATTTTGCCTGATTTTAGAGGAAATGCAATGGTAGGGTATTAAATTAAGAAATACATGCAGAACTCAACGGATAACACAGGCGTATGAGGGTAGGATGGAGAGTCATTACACAAATATTATGATTCTACATCCTGGCATACTTGGCGTCTGCTAGATTGTGGGCTGCCCCCCCCCCGAAGAAATCCTTCATGCGGCACTTTAAATTTCAACTTTAATGGATGATCTCACATTTGCTCGCCGTGTTTGTTCGATCGACTGCCAGATAACTTCACAGTTCAGTTACTGCAAAGCTTAATGTGGGCCACATCCCTCGACTGACTTCGGTCGGCTACAAAAAAAGGAAGACATTTTGATCATGTATTGAGGTTTATTTAAGGTTTCGCTATATTATTACTCTTATTGTCATTAACCAAGTTTTTAATGATATCGTAGATTAAACACAGGTGAAACGGGGCCATGCATAATAAATGGAATGCTATAAAGATTCCTAGATTTATTCTCAAAATGCTTTAAACATCGTCAAAAGTTTTCGGAGCTTTCCCCCTTGCCCCGTAGTATCACGCTTTACTCCCCCTTCATATACCCCCGTTTTCTGGAAGCTAGATCCGCCCCTGTCATCCACCACAAATTACAATCGTTGTTAACTTTCTTCAAGGGGGTCATCCCTGGTCATTCAGGAGGCCATTAAGGATAATTGCAGCGAGGATAATTGCAGTGGAGATGAAATCGCTTTCCACTCCAACGGAGATTTTGCATATAAGGAGACTGAGCTCCACAAAATCTGGGGATCTTTTTGTCATCTCAATTCTGTCTGCTGACCTTGCTTATGCTCAGCCTTTTAATCGTAAGGGATTGGCAATCACCCTATTGTTGTTCTTGTCACATAAAGTCCGGGGGGGGGGAGGACGAAATGAGAGATGGGGACGTCTTGGCTGTTTGGCCTGCAAGCTAGCGCGTATCCAGCAATATTACAGGGAGGGATTGTGTTTTTCGGCAATTCAACCGTGGGGAAAATTGGAAAAGAACTGCCAATCCATTTTAACATCGATACATGTTTAAAAAAAATCACTGTAGGCCTATAAAACTATTGCACTGATTACTTTTGAAGTACGGTGCACACAACATCAGTGCGCTACAATTTGGAGTGGTGAAAATCTTGTGTATTTACCAATTCATATTGTCCGCCATCTTTAAAAAAAAAAAAAAAAAGCCTATAAATGATATAAGTGTGCTTCTGTGGCGTGAACTTATCCCATCACGTGACAAAATTCTATACAATGAACACTGCCAATCCGTGTCACGTGGTGTCCCGTCGACACGCCCATGAGCTCCCCATAACTCTTTTTTCGAACCTGCATATTCATCTCGAGTAATTAATACCGGCGTCATATGTAATAAGCCATTTGCGAGTAACCTATACCCTTTGGGATTTACATTTCAAAAACATCTGGTACACTGACTTGCTCAGAATGCTTGGCACATTTTAACTTTGAATACTCCAGACCAAAGACACTGTTGCTAATCACATGATTCGGGGCAAGCTCTTGCATGGTTACGTAAGAGACGCTCAGCACCAATACATTGTTCACAATGGGTGAGAATGGCACAAAGACCATGCTGGAGCTGGGGGTTGCTAGCATAAGGCTTGCCCCGAATCACGTGATATAGTAACAGTCTCTTTGGTCGGGAGAATGCAAACTTAAAACGTGCAAAGCACTGGATTAAGTCAGTGTTCCAGATTTTATGCAAATTTAACACGCAAATGGCTTAATTGGACTCTTTGGAAATCCGGTGTCTTTTGTCCGATGCCCGATATGGACTCTGCCCCTCACACGTGACCTATCGCTATTCTCATTACACACATGCGCAATACAACCAAGGATTTCACGCGTCCCTCGATGTTTGCAACCGCCGAAATTTGTTGTTCTTTTGGCGCTTTATCTGAGCGCCACTAAGTTAATAACAAGGACGGATTAGCCGTTAACGTTTCTTGTAAGTCGTTCCCAGGAAATTATAAAATCTGGGAAGAAAGAAGTGTTGTGTATGCCTACACTGCGTGACCAGATAATCCACCTAGGCCTATAAGTAAAAACTCTCAAGGACCAAAAACCAGAAACTCATCAATAACTTCAAGTCAGATAATTGTGTGATTTGTGAGAGATTGTTTGAAGTTACCTCGGCTGATTCACTCCCAGAGTCCCCAAAACCATTTAGAAACACAAACACACAAATGAAAGTTTGCATGGCCGTATAGTGTAAACTAGTGAGACGATCTAAGGGCGATCACATTCTGAACGGAACGTTCAAGTTTCAGAACCAATCGGTTCTTTTCAAAACCAAACATCTCAAAAAGGATCCTTCCGAGTTCCACATGATGTAAACTCGACTCAAACCTTTACAAGTTCAATTAGACACAACCGTTACAACCACTACGCTGGACAAGCTTGAAATTTCGATGCAAAACTTTTCTTTATTTTTAAGCAAACCTTGTTAGCTACCCACCCCCAAAAGAAAGTTTGGTTTAGTAGAGATCCCAACAAGTAATATGAAGAGCAGGTATGAAATGCTGCTCTAACTTGTGTTTCTTGCTTCATTTTCAAGGGAGTTGAATAATCTTCGAATTGTCTTAATCATACGGCAACATTTTTTTCCATTGATGTACACAATAAAAATTGATTCTCGGGCTTTGTGAATATTCAGAAATCCGATCGGATTGAATGTTTGTAGCAGCACGGGATCTAGGTATGCCCATGAAGGAGTTTTAGACCGTGACTACCAACGCAGAGGCGTAGTGTAAGGGAGAAATCCCCCACCCGAGTTGGTTTTGAGAGGATAAAAAAGGCTTTTGGTTAAAGGAGAAAACGTCACTGGTATGAACCATCATGTAAGAACGAATCATTATCAAGAAACATACACTACGTTCTCATCCCAACTTCAATCATGACATAGATTCAAATAGGTAGTCAATTTAAGGATACTAGAAGACACTCGGAGAGCGCACACCTCCGCCAAGGATAAACAAAATCCAATCGATTTGTACTTGTACCAAGGACCAAGTACCCCTCTACATGTATATGCCTGTGTTGGCCTACCTCTCCACTCCCCATTGTATAAAATGGTCTAGTCCATTGACCTGTGTGGTTAGATTAGGTGGGTGATAAGGCATACAGTACAGGGTCACCGGGTCAGTGCACGCACATGAAGATGGTGACACAGAGCGATCTGGTCAGAGCGATCTGGTGAAAGTTTTTCCATATAATGGTTAAGAAATTCTTTTTTTAAAATCCTGCATCCAGACGCAGATCCAGATCACTTCAAAAATTAATCAATTTGTACAAATATCACCCCTAATTATTTGTTTTCATTAAAATCCGTCCAAATTTGTTTGAGTTATAGCCTGTTCACAGACAAACACATGTCACTAACCAACCGACCAACCAACACACAAACCAATAACATTGCCCATAAAATTACTATAAAAACTATTAAGTGTAGGCAGAAGAAACATGTAAAAAAATTATATTTAATGTGAGTTCTGTATCGTGGGTCGATCCGTTCTCTGTCTATGCCGTGCGCAATCTCGTCGTCTCGCAATATGGAGAAGTGGTTCGTTACTGCTTGCCGTTACTGTTGTACATCTCCAAACCGACCTTAAAGTTGTTGGTGGCTGAATCAAACGTCCAAATAATGAGAGTCCTAGAAGAGAAGAATTTAACCAAACTTATTCTCCCTGTTGTAAAGTAAAGGTAATATACATGTATAACATTTGCTTTTGCTGTACGTTATAGAAAAGGATGCATTTGGGGCAAGTGTTTTAATTAATATTGTTACAATGACCTGTTTAAAGTTTTGTGTTCATCGATGCTGGCAAAACCAAGAAAAAAAATGCTGTTCTTGTAGTCTGGTTCCCTGACCATACTTGGTCAGGGAACAAGACTAGCTGGCTTGCACGCGTTCACGGATGTGTAACCAATTGCAAACAAAATGTGGACTAACTAATTTTGGTATTGGTGGCAGTATTTGAAAAGGGTCAGTTGTTTTCCAACGATACAAAAATTCCATTTTTCTTGAAATTGACAGCACACCAGGTGCCATGATTGCACAGGATGCTTGAGACTATTATTCACTTGCAGTCAAGTAAGGTATCATAATAATTTGGTAGTTTTGTTTTTGATATTTGTAAATGTGGTATATTACCTTGAAGACCAGTTAAAGAAAAGAAAAACCATAAAGCGGATGTAAAACAAATTTCCGAGGGGAGTCAGGTGAGGGTCAACCCAGCCCTAAACTATGCAAATAAGGTATCCATGCAAATTAGGTATCCATGCAAATTCCATGCAAATTAGGTATTCATGCAAATTAGGCTTTGCTTAACCTTCCAAAATACTTAAATAGTTCGTCAATATAAAGGAAAGCAAGGGTTCTAATGGTACATAAAAAAACGACAGTTTCCAGACCAAAGTATTGTTTAGATGCCTGTCTTTTCAGTTTGTTTTGATTCTTACTTCAGGGAGTCATGTTGGCGCAGTGGTTACTTTCCTCGCCCTCCACCTCAACGACCTAGGTTCGATTCCTGCCTGGACAACAAGTGGATTGGGTTTTCAGTCCCCGTGGGTTTTCCTCAGAATATACTTCCGGGGTTTTCCCCCCACCTCTAAAACTGTAATTTCTTCTCACTGTCTCATCTCTACGGGTTTCTTCGGGCGTTCGAGCTACAGTGCCTAGGGCACCTTTGGGGAATCCTTGGTTTCATTACCAAAAAGAAATAAAACAAAATATGAAACTTATAATAGCATTTTAATGTTTGGATTATCGCAAAGACTTACTTTCCCTCGAACAAGACGTCGCCGGTCTTGGCGTACACTGTAATTGTCTTCCACTCGAGGGCTTCCCCCGTGTTCGTATTCAAATAATCCAGGTACTGGATTTCATACTCGATCTTTTCAGCATACGCAACCCAACCCAAGTGCGAGCGCATGCCTGAAAGAAAATAAAGGTAATATTTACCATCAAAAACACGGTGCGCATACCAAATCAATGTTAACAATTGGGGAAAGCGGTCTTCTCAAGAATTCGAAACACCCGACGAATGGGAGTCAACTGCAATATCACTGTTCGAACAAATCTCTAGTTTGCATCACTGATGAAATTGCATACAATCCGGTTCCATGTACTTCCGAATGGATTAAAAAGCACATAATTACGGAAAAAAACAACCACCATATATTATAAGGAATAGCAGCCTCACTCATGCATTCGTGTCTCAAATACTTGACTTCCTCCAAGTTGTGTTCCCTGAATTTAAAATCTAGACTGTCCCCTCCCTCGATATATCACTACGAATGTTACTGTATTTATGTCCATACCAGATTAAAGCAGGAAACTAATAACTGCCTATACCTCTATGCTGTAGTCATTTGGGACAAACTTTTCCCACAAAATTACAGAATACTTGGACATCTAATGTTAGAGGTAGGGAATTTATTGGAAGGAATGTTGCATCCTGACGCCACTTGTTTTCATCATAAGATCGCAACGACATGATGTCGGTCATTGCAAAGATGAGAAAGAACGTTGCAACCGGACGCTGCTTTTTTTCTTCATATATCATCTGAATGAAGGTCATTCATAGCAGAAATGATAAGGCATGAATCTGGGACTGAGAAACATTTTCAGTCTCCATAGACTTTGTACACAACTTCCGCTGAAGTAGCGTCAGGTTGCAACATTCTTCAACAAAAATGTGGAAAAGACATGAATCTGGGACCGAGAAACACTAGAGGATTCCCATATCTGACCATCACTAATTTTTCCCTTCAGTGACTTTATCAACCATCAGAAAGTGATGATATGTCCTAAAAAGTCAATTTTAGCAGAACAAAATATTGAAGTATTTACTGAGAAAACACTTAGAATTTTTCAGACCAGTCTCACACGGTTTGTGCATAGGGTGACAAGTGATGGCCAGATATGGAATCTTTCCGAAACACTTTTGTTAGAAAATACTTTGAAAATGCACTCTTCCCCATAGACTTTGTATTAGACATTTAATCTGTTCTGCTTTTTAGCGAGGTAAGTAACTTCCATGGCGAGTATCAAGAAGAAAACAGTCTAGATTTCAAATTCAGGGAACACAACTTTTTAGGAAATTTAGCACACATTGCTGCGTCTCACAAGACGGAGGAGGCGTTTGAGACATTGCAGATGTAAATAGTGAGGCAGATTGGTACACAGTATGATTGAATTGTTCATTTGATCATTTGAAGTGTCAATGCCTCTTCATTGTTACCCTTTAAACTTACCCTCCTTTCCAATGGTAGCGGGATGATTCTGGGGCATATAGAGACAGTTATCGGTGTACAGTTCCAAGATTGCATCAATGTTGTTCGCTGCCACTGCGTCCATATACTTCGCATTCTGTGCTCTAATCTTTTGCAGTCCTTGCTGTAAATCTAGAAGCACAGAAATGAAAAATGATGGAAACATCAAATATTCAAACACATCACATTTTGGAAGAAAATGATAAAACGGAAAGAATGTTGCAACCTGACGCCACTTGAGCGGTTGTGTACAAAGTTTTTGGAGAGTCAAGAACATTTTTCTAAGTATTTTCTAACAAGTTGGAAATGATTCTCAGTTCCATATTCATGTCATATTTTTACAATGGCTGACCGTCGTTGACATGATACATGAAGAAAAAAAGAGTGGCGTCAGGTTGCAACTTTGGTTTCAAAGGTTCTCGGTCGTCCTCGCAACGCCGTCAAACGAAGTAATGTGCCAAAAAAATACTTCTGCTTCCGATTACATGGCATTTTGAAAATAGTGTAGGTAGCATAGGGATTTTTTTGGCATTTTGTTTGTGTACGATCGTATGGAGGTGTCGGCGTGTAGTAATGGTTTCCGTTTTTTCCTCATTGACCCCCACCAAAAAAAGGAGAAGAATTAGGGTAGGGGATGTCAAAATAGGGTAGGTATGGTAACCGGAAGCAGAAGTACATTTTTTTGCCTCATCTTATAATTATAGGATATTTGATTCTACAATGATTTCTTTTGCCAACTTACATGCAATACTCCTTGCGTCATGACATGGCACTAAGGCGCATGCCACCAGCAGGACGACGAGAGATGTCCAAGCAGACATGGTGAACGGACGTGACAGTTTCGTGCCAGGAGACAAGATTGAAGATGTTAACTGCAGAAAGTCTCAGCGTCGAAGTGGCGCGAGTGCGGTAGCGTTTCGCGGCGCGCTAGAGGAACGGCTCTGGGCCACGCCCGGTCCTGACGAAATTAAATGGCCCCTCATGAATATTCATGAATCTGACACAATAATAACCTAAGCTCCGAGATCCCAACCAATCAAAACCCAGATTACCCCTGCAAATGCCGTTCCCAGTCATCCGAAGCGAATGTCTTTTCTTTAAACCGGTTTTTAGGGCCACGAATCTTTTCCAAGAGACGCATTTTTCGCTAGCCTGGATGTTTCATTTTGTGCATACGATTTTGGAGCAAGACTATCAAATGAAATGAACCGTGAATGGGCAACTTTTGTTGGATTTACAATGGATCACCGAGGACTTTGTCGCAAGGCTGAGACAAAATACGAATCGCTGAATTGATCATTGTGATTTTCCTTTTAAATCCAGAAGTAAAGCAAAGCAAGGCGATTATCCCCACGGCGGGCCAGTACGCCAAATAGGGACTATACAGGGCCAAGCAACAGGGTAAACCACTGGTGCATGAGGCTTGACAATATACCCAGCATGATTATTGCAGAGGGTTAACTACCTCCAATCTCCCTTTATATGGTTGCACCATGGAGCTATAAACCTTCCATGGTTGCACACAGGTAAATCATAGAGCTAGGTCCTCACTCTATGGGTAAAAAGGCCTAGATCCATCCGCCGAGCTCATGGATAAAAGTTACACCTCAAAATATTCTATATTAGATAGTTTTGAGAGCCATACAATTGAGGAATTGAAGAGATATTGCAATGAACCTCTTGCCCGGACTTGGGCCTTCCAATTCTATTTTGCCATGTTGTGGAGGGATCGTTTTACAAGATGGCTACTTTTCCGCTCTGGGGAAAATAATGGTCGTCTTCTTTGGGTGAGAATACCTCGAAAAGTCAATGTCAACCCACCAAAAAATGAAAAGAAAATGAAAGATGACAAGTCATGTTGCTCATTATTTTTCTGTGTAGCGTAAATACCTGTGAGAGTTCTGCGTATTTTAAAACGAATTTTAGAGTATGGGCATTAAGCACTAGTGTCTGTGGGAATTTCAATACAGGATTGCACCCCTATACCCTATACACACCCCAGACTATTGTTACCTAACACATTCCTCTAGATATCTCCAAAGAATTCCTGAGATTCTGGTAACACAATGACCAACACAAAGGAGGGGGGGGGGGTCCCTCTGTCAAGAAAAAGAAAAATGTAGGACATCTTAGCAGTGGCGTACACACTCACACCGTTATAAGCAGGACCTTGTATTAACAGTGCTCTTCTTATCAGGGTTCGACTGTATCCACAATTCTGGAAACATTTGAGTGGTGAAAAAGCTGTAAAATTGATACCTGAAATGACATACTTTTGCTAACAGAATATTGATATTTGCATAAAAGCCGACAAGGCACTAAAACACTCCTGAAAATGGCAAAACGAAAAATGAAGACAAGGTTGAATGGGACACAAAGGTGCTTTTTCAAGGATTGCATAATTTGCCCTTTAAAAATTTAAAAAAATGGGCCCTTTAAATTCAAAGTAGATTAAAAAATATGGTCACAAACAATAACAACTGGTCAAAAATGGTCATCTTGACAAATACAAATATTCGTTGACTTTATCGTTTCAGATTTTTCAGTTGGTAAGGTAGAAAATAATGAACTATTTGCACGATGTGAAAAAACCCCCGATTTTATTCTGCAGCCCAATAAGATTCTAGCTATGACATGTCGGAGGCAGCAGTCAGTGACTAACTATGTATGTACTAAACGCAGTGTGATTTTTGTATGGCGTACTGTATAACTTTGAACCAAGAGAGGGCGGTATGATGATATAAAGCGGTACATCGGTACAGAGGGCGGTATCGATAATGCGTGTAAAGCAAAAAACCTACGGTTGCAATATATTATTTTAACGAAACTGCCACAGAATTCAATGGTGAATACTGCCACTTCTCAAGATCAGGAAAAATACTCACAATTCTCCAAGGTGTTTTGAAAATCACATCAAATTAAAGCTTATCTCATCAGTTTCATTTTATAGGGAGGTTATCCGAAGACTTTTGGGCGAAAATTCCATCTAAGGACAATCACCCCAGCTCCTGTGGCCCATCGCCATTTTAGAAAAATGATGCCTACGCCAAAATAGAACAAATTTAGGGCCCCATCATTCATCCAAATTTCACAGAAAAACAATGTCGCAGTCATGTTCACGGCCTCCACCCATTTCCCCAAACCCTCAAGTTCATGGCCCACAAAATGCTGTAATAACAACAAAAAAACTTGCCTGTACCCTAACGGGTGCAGCAATAGGCCCGAAATTGCTTACGCCGTCCAAATCACGATTTGCATGCCCTGAAATTCTCCAGTGTTAATGTTAGAGCATTTGGGCCGTGAACTTGAGGATTAACAAGAAGGGTGGAAGCCGTGCAGAGGACTGCGAGCTCGTATCAGTGTGATGTGGATGAAATCAGGCCCTAAAATGGCTCTAGTTTGCAGTGGAGAGTATAGGCGTCCATTTTGAAAATGGCGATGGGCTTTTGGACTGCTTTTAGGGGTGATCACCATTGGATGGAATTTTCTCCCAAAAGTCATTGAATAACCCCGCGCAAATTGAACGGAAAATGAAAGATGATGAAATAAGCTTTAGTTTGATGTGTTTATCAAACACCTTGGAGAGTTGTGAGTATTTTTAAATAAGTTTGGGAAGTGCGCGTAATTACCACTGAGGTCTACGCGGATACGGCGGTCTAGTATATACTGGTCTAGACCCGTACCCTACCCTACGATCCTCAAACAGCTTACAGTGCGCCCTCTTTGAAATTATACAGGTCAGGCATGTTGACATACTGGGGATTTTGCGCACTAGTGACTGACACACTAAGTCCATGGGCCTTAGTAACGTCATTTTTGTCGAGTTCCCTGAATGTATTTCATTAATTGTTAACTGTTGAATGGGATGGTGCCAGACTATTTATGCAGGCATTAATGCGGCCTTATTTTACTGTATTTTTTTGTTAAATATGGCTAAACATTAGGGAATATTCAATTACACATTTTAAATTATTCATTGAACTTTTGAAGCAGACTGGAATTTATTATAAATTAATTTAGTTCATTTCTCTTCGCAAGTTCCAAAAATTAAGATTTTACTAAGTTTCAATTCTTTATGGCCGTCTCATGGATAAGGCCCATCACATGGACACACCAACTGGTACATATAGAAATAGGCCTACATGCTATTTCGAGCGGCATCCCCATTTTACGGGCTACTTTCATCCGAAGGATTCTTCATCGTACTTCCTCTTAGTGTTTCCAGTCCTATCTAGACCGCTGTACTCCATGCCCTAACCCTAACCATGGAGAAATAAATTTTGGGGAACATCGGGTAGACCCCGGTTAGATTTTTTCTTAAGCTCCATGGTTAATAATGACTGGTTCGACTGCCTAAAGTCTTTTATCTTCCAAAACCCGCTATATTCTTTGGATACATCGTAGCGTCTTTTCGGCCAACCAATACGTACTATAGACCTGGAATAAAAAAAACTATGCCCGGCAGACTTCACTGCAGAAACAACGAAACGATTTCACGAAGTATACGAGTACCATGCAACAATCGAAATTACTGAAAAACAAAAAGACACTGAATCACAAAATGGAGTTTCAACTTACACTGTATTTCCCCTGGCCCTGTCGATACTACATACTGCGGGTATAAAGTTGAATTTATGAGGACAAAACGGACGGCGAACGGGATCTGTGGACGTTCCGCAAGAAATAGGTTACTGTATAGGCGCAATTAATTATATTAATTTGGTGCACTGTAAATAAAGATCTTAAATGATGAGTCTTTAAGGTGCGCAAGCCTGCTGTTTTGTTTCTAATCTAAACTCAACAACAGAATTGTTTATAGAAGTTGCTTATAGATGTGGGCACGTGTGGTGATCGGTGGAGCACAGGATTCGTGATCGTGAGGTTGTGGGTTCGAGCCCCGCCGTGGCCATGCGTGTTGTGCCCTTGAGTAAGGCACTTTACCTCAATTACTCCTCTCAATTCAGGTGTTAAATGGATACCGGCATTATTCAATGCTGGGAAGGTAACAGACTTGCTGTGGAGGAGGTGTGGCGATCCCCCGCAGCAGCATATAGTATGGCCATGGTCTGGCCCAATCGCTAACGAAAGAGAGATGGGCATTCCGTTCCTGTTAACACAGGTTCGCCCCTTTACCTTTTTTTTTTTTAGAAGTTGCAACAAAAATCTGGCTTTGGCAGGGCCGATGCCTATACTAAAGACCCCACACGGGCATCAATAAATGCGTGAACTACTTTCTCTTCTATAAACCTCATTAATTCGACAAGACTCACGGTGGTGTTCGATTCTACTGCTGGTACCACACCGTAGACTAACCAACACATATCAACTATCATTTAGCCATCTGGAGGCTAGACTTGGCGTCTACAAGACATTTACACAGCGTCCTTGGGTTTATACACAGACTCGACACCCGTATGGCAGTCAAAACACTCGATATAACACCCATCTTTCAAGCCGGCACAAATTGTGGGGCTTAGCTTCGAATTTACGATGGTAATGGCCCACGGCAACGGTGGAACGATCGAAGGGAAAGCAGCGGCGAAACGGCCCATGCAATGAACGCAGCTAACCGCTCATAACTCAACACCTCATGAAATGTGCATCAAATGTTATTAAAAAACTTGAACAGCGCCACCATTTGGTCACCGCATCACAGTCGTTTGTCTGTGTTCTGGTTGCTGCACTACTCGCACAGTGCCTTTACTAAGAAAGTTTAACTCCTCCCTTTTAAATAGAAACAGAAATCACACTTAACTTGCAACTTGCAGTTTTGTGTTATATCCTTGAAACACAAGGAGATAATCACAAATTACCGGTCTCAACATGTACGCCTATAGTACGTCATAAACGTACAAGTCAACTCTGGTGAGGAACTTCGCGGTAACACCATGTGAATGAAAGATATCTCCTGTGAAGTTCCGAGAAGAACCAGTTGGTATGAATCGACGTTTCGAACAGTATGCTCTGCT